GAGTTCATGACCACGTGGCGCAGTGCAGAGCTCCCGGGGGTACCACGCGCCCGCTTCGCCTGGGCCTGGGCCCCGGGCGCCCACAGGTGGGAAAGGAGCAGGCACATGTGGAGGCTGGCAGCGCTGAGCTCCGTGGGAAAGAAGGGCCTGGGAGTGTCTGCATCAGAGAGCAGGTGGCGGAGGTGCTGGGGTTGCCGTGACCTGGGTGGCCACTCCCGCCACCTCGGGCTGGTGAATGCAGCCAGCCCCTCCCTGAAAAGCCACTGACACGGGGCCTGACGACTCCCAGAGGCCAACAGGGTTCTCCCTCCAGGTGCCAGCAGAGTCTGCCAGAGGGACCTGCAGGCCTGTCCTGGCTGGCGGCCCTGGGAAGCAGGGATCGGGGTCCAGTCTTAGCTCTGCCCTGTCCACCCTGTGGCCCCGGACAAGCCCAGCCCTGCTCTGCTCTGGGTCGGTGTCCTCACCTGGGACGCAACCAGACCACACTCCTCAGTCCTGGGAACAAAGCCCAGAGAACATGTTGGGTCCCAGGCGCCACCCGGAGATGCAGATTCCGGAGACGGGGAGAGGCCAGGCGTCCTCGCAAAAGCGGGGTTCCCCAGTAAGACTGCGATGGGTTGACACCCACACTCAACAGCTAGGGGTGCTGGCGAAGTCCTTCCCGCCTCCTCCTCAGCAAAACCAGAACAATCACCTGCTGTGCGACCAGTAGCAGGTGTGGCATGGGAGGCCGCTCTCAGGACAGACCCACAGGGGGCGCCACCAGTACCAGGACCGCTGCACCCCTGAGCCCCAGGGAAGCCTGCGGCCACAGGGCTCGTCATACAGGAGCACGCGAGCTCCTGCAATGGCTGCTGCTCCCCAAAGCCCACGGTCTCGGGGGGCCTCTGAAAGGAAGCCTGGCCCTGACAGCCACAACGTCGTCACACCCAGGCCCTACCTGTTGGGGTCGGCCGCCTGGAGCCCGTTCTCGTTGGTCACGATGACCTTGTAGCAGAGCTCGCTGCCCGGGTTGGGCTTCTTCCTGTGCGCTTCCCGTGCGGCCTCGTCCTCACTCTCCTCCTCCACTTCCTCCACTTGCATGATCCCAAACATCTCCCCCGCGTCGAACACCTGGGGACCACAGTGTGGGTGTCAGAGGGATGCCCAGCCCCGAACCCTCACCACAGCCGGACTTCCGCTCCCGGCCTCCAGGTCAAACTACACCCCGCAGGAGAAGCTGGGCCTGTCGCTCGCCATCTACCCATTTCACAGGTGGGAAAACTGAGGCTCCTAAAGAGAGCGCGGTCAGAACTGGGACCCAGCCTACCCGCAGGACCACGCTTAGAAGCGGGCCTGCATGCATGTGTCCGAATCATGTCTCCTCTGGCCCCTGCTGCACAGGGAAAGCGAATCCCGAGGCAGAGTGAGCAGTGTGTGTGTGTGTGTGTGTGTGGCTCTGGTCACACTGGAAGCAAATGAAGGTCAGGATCTCGGTGGCCAGGGGTCTCACCCCAAGGTTGCTCTCACCAGAGGAACCCATCGAACACCAGGGCAGCTGGGAAAACCCAGAGGGAAACAGGTGTCCGGGCCTCCTGTGGCCACCGCGCCCCCCGGCTGAGCAGCAGCCAGGCCCGCGGGAAGCGTGACCTGAGGTCCGAGCCAGGAAGATAAAGGCCCTGGTCCCTGCGTTTCCCTGGCAAAGGACAACGGCCGGCCACGTGCAGCGCGTGAAGTCAGCTCCAGTGTGCTCTGGGGCCGGCCTACGTGACCTCGAACGAGGCAATGAGCCACACCGTGCCTCAGTTTCCCCATCCATACAGTTGGCATAGTAGGACCTACCTCAGAGGGTTGTTGGGAGGATTCACGAGGAAGACACATAAAGAGCTAAACCTGAGCCCAGCAAATGCTCCAAAAGCACCTGCTCCCAGCATTCCACTTCTGAGGCCGGGCCCGGGGGGCGGGTACCATCGCCTTCCAGGATAGCTTTGCCGGCTAAGCCAACGCAACGGTGCACAGGAGTCCCTGGCACACAGCAGGGACTGAACAAAGGCCAGCTCTCCTGAAAACCTATTTCCCGCAATTATTAAAAAAAGATGCAAAATTCACCCCAGCAGTTGGAAACCTGCTAGCTCCCCGGGCACAGGCACCTTGGGGTGTGAGGATGAAGCTCTCAGGATCTTGCCCAGGGAGCTACGGCCCAGTGGCAGAGCGCAGTCGGGCTGGGCCGTCTGGGAGGACCGGGTGCGTGGTGCTGGGCCTGGAGGGCCCCGGAGGATGTTACGGAGGAGTCAGTCAGAGGGGCGGGGGATGGGACGGACACAACCTAAAGGCAAGGGGGTGGAGGGCGTCCTCAGGACTGGCTTCTGCCAGGCTGTGGGTGGGTGTGACCACAATCCCTCCACCACGGTGGAAGTGCTGAAACTTATTATTTTAAACACGTTCCCAGCCTTTCCAAGGGAGCTTTCCTTTGAGGCAAGGCGCCAGGGTCATCGCCTTGCGGATGGAACTGGGGGACCCCATCCCTGCGGGCAGGTGCCTGTGCCCTCCCCACATCTGGGTTCACAGCAGCAGCAGGTCCCCTGCAACAGTGACTGCAGGGTGGGTCAGGCAGAGCCGTGACTCACCGCTCTGCCCATAACTTGGAGCGGCAGCGAGGCCCTGGAAAAACACTGGGTCAGAGCAGGTGCGGGCAGGGCAGACGGGGCGCTGGTCCGGTGACTGCCCACTGTGTGCTGGGCACGGGTGGCACCTTATCTCACGCCTTCCTAGCCCTCCCTGCCAAGACTCCCGATTTCTAAGGTATGTGTGTGTGTGTTTTTTTAAAGGATGTTTTATTGATTTGAGAGAGGAAGGGGGAGAGAGACAGACAGACATCGATGTGAGAAACATTGACTGGTTGCCTCCCATACTCGCCCAGACTGGGGGTCAGATCCATAACCTCGGTATGTGCCCTGACTGGGAATGGAACCCACCCCTCTTGTGGTGTACGGGATGACACTGCCACCAACCGAGCCTCCGGGCCAGGGCAAGACCCCGGTTTCTAGATGGAGGCTCCATGGGGCGAGTGACCTGCCCAAGTCAGAGCTCACTGCCCATCGAGGCTGGCAGGGCTGCAGCGAGTGAGGACCTTTTATCCTAACAAACTGCTGGGTCCCCTCCCACCCCAGGGCAAGTGCTCAGGAAATGCAGGCGGAATTGAGGGCAAGTCACTGGGGAGGGGGGAGGGGGGAGGGGGGAGGGCATTCACTGTTACAACAGATAGGTATGGACTATCTGCAGTCGACACTGTATCTTTTTTACAGCAACTGCCTGTGTTTTGAGCAGGAAGGTACTTGGTCCAACCCCAACTTTGCATATACAGGAACTGGCTGAGAGGGGGGCTGTCCAGGCTCGGGGACACCCTGTCTGGCTCCGGAGTTCCCCTCATCACTGAGGCCACTTAGTCTGCCTTGGCCCCAGGAGGCAGCCTCCTGAAAAGGGGCCTGATTCCAGCTAAGAAGGACCCACAAGCTGTCCTGTTAAAGTGCTCTGTCTTCAGCACTGGGCCGACCACCCCAAACCAGGGGCCACCCCGTAGCCAGGACTCCGTCCCCCCACCCTCCCAGGGTCCAGGCTAGAGAAGCTGGTGAGCAGAATGGAGCTGTCCCCACGAAAAGGGAGAACCTACACACATCTAGGACTTTTTCGTTTTTCTCTAGATGTGTTCTCCATCTCCCACACTGTTTTCTTTAACCTGCAAAATGAGGGTGAGTCAGGCTCAAGTCCATTGAGGAACATGAAAAACTTTTATGACCGAGAATTAAAGCCACACAAATTCATGGGGCTCCTGTTCTCCCAGGGGAAGGCGGTGGCTGAAAGCTTCCAGTTCGGACAAACTCCCCGAGCCTCAGTTTTCTCAGCTGTGTAATGGGGGTGATGGCGCTTACTCCGCCCAGGGCAGCTCAGGGCTGGCAGCCAGCAGGAGCCAGGCTTCATTTTAGTTCCCGGTTCCGCGCGGCCCTGGCCAGGCCCAGGCCCAGGTGCAGGCAGGACCGGGCCACAGGTGCGGGCCCCGGCAGCACTCTCAGGCCCCCCGCTTTCGGGGACGAAAAGTCTCAGTCGGTCATCCCGGCATTCGTGGCTCTTCTCTGCCAGCCTCTCCGGCCTCGTCCATCCACACCGCCCCCAGCTCCGAGACCTGCCCAGCGGGGCACACCACGACCTCCCACCCCCTCCTCCGCACGTGTCCAGCCTTTCCCAGGCGGACCCAGCCCGCCCCCCGGCCGCCAGACCCCAGCGGCTCCCCGCCAAGGGCCGGCCCGCAGGCCACACCCTGCCCGGTGGCAGGGCCCGGGCGGTGCACCCCCGGCGTGCCCAGGGCCCGCTCCGGCCCCGGCGCCTCGACCTCCCCGCGCGCCCCGGCCCGCACCTCGTGCTCCAGCTTGTGCAGGAGGCGGCCCCAGTACCGCTCGGGGACCCCCGACGCGCGCAGCGCCGGGCCGTGCAGCGCCGCGAACTCGGCCCGCGCGACTTCCTCGGGGTCCGGACCCTGCTCTGAGCTCGGCGCCGGCTCCGGCATCGGCACCGACCCCGCGTCCGCCTCCATGGCGCCTCCGCCAGCGCCAAACCCAGAGCCGCCGCAGCCCGCGGGCCCAGCCCTCCCACCGCGGCCCGCCCGCCAGCGCCGCCCCGCCCACCGCCGGGGCGCCCGCCTCCCCCGCGCCGGGCTCCCCCACCCAGCCGTCCGCGGCCCCGCCCCTCCGCGGCCCCGCCCCCAGCCGCCCTAGGCCCCGCCCACCCCCGGGAGCGCACGCTGCGGGCAGCCGGGGCGCCAGGCGCAAGGGGCGGGACCCGGGAGCCGAAAGCCCGGCCGCCCGAGGGGCGCGTGCGCGAGTGCGCGTGCGTGTGGCGTGGGCCCGCGTGGGCGGGGGGCGTGTCGGTGGCTGGGCGTGCCGGGCTGTGCGCACGCGTGCCTGGGGGCGGTGCTTTCTCTCCCACGCGGCTGCCCCGCGGGATGCCGGGAGCGGTGGGAACCGGAAGAGACTCCGACTGTCCCGAAGGAGAAGCTGCGGCCGGAGACGCGCGTGGCCAGGCTGGTGCCGGGCAGAGCCACCGCCGGCCTCGGAGGGCGGGGCTCGCGTCCCCAGAGCTTCGCCGCCTTCAGGTTGCGAAGTGGGGCCTCTCCGCGTCCTTCCATTTACACGGGAGCCAAGTGCGTGCAGTTAAAGCGGGGGCGTGGGGGGGGTCTTACAGGTTGAGGTACTGCCCAAGCATTTCAGGGTGTAATTACAGAACTTGAAAGTCATTCTGTGGACATTTCAGTTTTCCAGGTCCTGTTGCTTCTGTGGGGTTCAGATGGGGCCACCCCAAGATGAGCCCAGGGCCATGCGGGGTATTAGCTCCAGGCGACCGAGGCCTGTGCCCCGAAGAGAAACTTCTGTGTCCCCGGCCCCGCCCCCCCCCCGCCCCCCGCGCCCCCTCTCCCCATGATTTATCAGCGGTTCTCAAACTGGGGGTCGCCTAAGACCATGGGAAAACACACATATAATTACATATTGTTTTTGTGATTAACCACTATGCTTTAATTATGTTCAATTTGTAACAATGAAGTTGGGGGTCACCACAACATGAGGAGCTGTATGAAAGGGTCGCGGCGTTAGGAAGGTTGAGAACCGCTGAACTAGGGGATTAGAATCAGGCCTTGCCCCTAAGAGATCATGGCAGAGCCTTCCTAACGCTCTCTCCAGGCAGGGAAGCCGCTGACTGCTGAGCCGCGGCTCCTAGGGACCTGCGGGACCTGAAGCGCCCCAGGCAGCTTCTCTCACCCCCAGCAGAATGCCCGATGCACCCACTTTCCCTTCCTGCCTCGGGGTCTGACTCTCATGCACTCGGGGTTCCCATGCCAATGCATGGACTTTGGTTACTTTCTCTTGCTCATCTGTCTCACGTCTGTGATGATTAGACCAGCGAGAGCCTCAGGGCAGAGGCAAGCTGCTTCCTCCCCTCACTGCCATCGCCATGCTTCCCCTTGCAACTTGGCAATAATTGCATTTTGCCAAAAGGCTCAAAGGCCGAAGTTTGTGGGTGTTTTGGTGCTCGGTTGGTGAATACCAGTACTTTGATTAAGCATTTTAAACCGCATTTAAACAAAGTGTGCCAGTTCAGAGGACCTGTTCATTGTGGCTACGACACTTGAGTTGGTTTGTAAAGGCTCAAACTTCCAAACTCCAGCGGGTGCGGGGCACAGAGGAAAACATGTTACTGCCCTCGGGAGTTGTTGTTTTTAAATCTACATCAGCTTTGTCACAAAACTGTGGTTCAATTACTCTATGAAAAAATACTTGCAGCCCTGGCCGGCGTGGCTCGGTGGAGAGTTGTCCAGTGCACGAGGGTCGAGGGTTTGCCTCCTGATCAAGGCACATACTCAGGTTTCAGATTTGATCCTGGGTTGGGGCACGTAATGGAGGCAACCGATTGATGTTGCTCTCTCTCTCTCATTCCCTCTTCCTTCCTCTCTAAAAAACAAACAAACAAACCAAAAAAACACAGTAAGAATGTATCCTCAGGTGAGGATTGAAAAAAGGACTTGTAAAATTTTGACAACTACGATTTTTAATTCCATTGGTATAATTTTACAGCTTGTCTGGATGAAATTATGAACCACATCCAGCTCCAAGTGCCTTTCTGCTCCACGGGATTAGGACTTTACCAAGAATGTTAGTCTATGCTGGGCCACATCCAATTTTATTTGAGTATGATCGGCCTGGTGCATGGATTCGTGCACATTGAAAGGAAAGTAATTAGAAGAAATATTTTAATATCGCTATTCACCCTTTCTCTATAATAGAAGTGTCACCCAAATTCACGATCGACAATGACGGATCGAAACACACATTGCCAGTGCGCATCGTATGTACCGGCCAGTCGGTCTTACAGTTGGCCACTTAGCCTTTTATATATATAGATTATCGTTGCAGAAAAAGGCCTTTACTATTCAGCGTTTTAACTGAACTTAGCTGCGTAGCATTCACAATGATGCTAGTTTTTCACTTGGAGCAGAATGAACTTCAGATAGCTTAATTTTAGTCTCACAAATTGGATGAAAAAGTTGGAACTATGTAATGACTGATACAAGTTGGCTTCAACTATGGAATAATTCCTAGGCCAGTGGAGCCAACACATTAATGGGGATGGTTTGGCTTTTCAGATGAACACAAGAAAAATATCTTCGAGGTTGCTTTCAATTCTTTTGGGTATATTCCCTGAAGTTTCCATAGACTTATATGTTTATTTTAAAAATATATTTTATTGATTTCAGAGAGGAAGGGAGAGGGAGAAAGAGATAGAAACATCAATGATGAGAGAGAATCATTGATCAGCTGCCTCCTGCATGCCCCCTACTGGGGACTGAGCCTGCAACCTGGGCATGTGTCCTTGACCGGAATCGAACCTGGGACCCTTCAGTCCGCAGGCCAATGCTCTATCCACTGAGCCAAACCAGCTAGGGCTATTTTTATTTTTAAGATATGTTTTTATTGATTTTGAAAGAGAGAGGGAGGAGAGAGAGAAACATTGATGTAAGAAACACTGATCCTTCCGTACTCACCCAACCAGGGATTGAGCCCCGCAACCTGGGCACATGCCCTGACAGGGAATTGAACCGGTGACCTTTGAGTGAATGGGATGACGCCCAACCAACTGAGCCACACCGACCAGGGCTTTCCTTCGACTTTTTTTTAAAATTAATATATATATTTTTATTGATTTTTTACAGAGAGGAAGGGAGAGGGACAGAAAGTTAGAAACATCGATCAGCTGCCTCCTGCACACTCTCCACTGGGGATATGCCCGCAACCAAGGCACATGCCCTTGACCGGAATCGAACCTGGGACCCTTGGGTCCGCAGGCCGACGCTCTATCCACTGAGCCAAACCGGTAGGGCAAGACTTTTAAAAAATATATATATTTTATTGATTTTTACAGAGAGGAAGGGAGAGGGGTAGAGAGTTAGAAACACTGATGTGAGAGAAACATTGATCAGCTGCCTCCTGCACACTCTCCACTGGGGATGTGCCTGCAACCAAGGCACATGCCCTTGACCGGAATCGAACCTGGGACCCTTGGGTCTGCAGGCTGACGCTCTATCCACTGAGCCACACTGGCCAGGGCTCCTTAGACTTTTAAATCACTGTGTTCCAGTATCTCATCTGGAATACTAATATCCTTTATAAAATTGTTTTTCCTTCTGTCGAGTGCATGATGCCAGGGGTTCTCCACATTACTGAGGAGAATAGTGGTTATTAGCCTTTTAGGGTTGAGAACCTGATGAAAGCCATGGTCACACACACACACACACACATACACACACACACACACACCACTGGTCATGCACCTGGTTCCCAGGGTCCCACGTCCCCTGAGGCTTGCTGACCGTGGCTCCCAGGTGAGAGTCCGTTGGGGGAACATCGGCCCATGGCCAGTCCTGGAGAAATGGGACTCAGCCCCGCGTTCACTGTTTGCTTTCGGCAGCTCGTTGGGAGCGCCTCTCCCTCGTGTGGGGAGCCCTCCCGCTGCAGGTCGTGCACTCGCCGCGCTGCCTCCCAGAGCCCAGGGGGCCTCAGCCCAGCCAGCGTTTTTTTCTTTTCTGATTTCAGTGACCGTGGTCCTCCCCACCCCACCGTGACCTCTGATGAGGAGAGGAAGGGAGCAGTATTCCAGTTCACCTTCTGTTTACTGTGAGTGATTTTCACACGTGTTCCATGACCTGCATGTGTGTGAACATCATGGAGAAAACAGTATTCACGGCAACGCAGTTACGCTGGCCTTTGTCACTCCAGGCAGTGGTGCCGGGCTCAGACCGCACAGCGGCCCTCGCGGAAGGAAGCCCCGGGGAGGCGGCGGGCACAGGCCCAGCTCCCGGGCCCCCACCCACGCGTGCAGACCCCGGGGAGCAGCCTGGCCGCGTCGCTCCGGCTGTGGAAGGTTCTGCATACGCAGTCCCGGGACCTGTGTGGCCTCTGCCGCGAGGGCCCGCTCTCTATGAGCGTGTGCTGGGCCTGGAAGAGGGGAGCTAGGGAGGGGGCACTGGGCGCCTCCCCAGGCTGCGCGGGGCCTGGGCTGGAAGCAGCAGGAACCTCGGGTGGGCGCCGTGCTGCGGCCTCGCTTGCCCCGCCGGTCCAGTTCCAATGGACTAAACGGCTGTCCCACCAGGGAGCAGGCAGAGCCCATCCTCCTCTGCATGAGCTGGTTCTGGAGGGAGGGATTGTCACTGTCCCCACCCCTAGCCCTCCTTGCTCTCTCCTCGCTCTGCCCTTTAGATCCTCGCCCCGGACAATCCACTGCCAGGGCTGCCCGACCCACAATCAGCTTCGGGATCAGATGGGCTTGGTTTGGATTCTGCTAGAGTTACTACCCGCCTTAGGCAGGTCACCTGGCCTCCCCGAGTCTCCAGCTCCAGACTGAAGAACAGTGTGGCTGCACCCACCCCCAGGGACAGCGCTTTGTGTGAGCCGGTGGTGAGGCTGAGCCCAGAGCCAGCTAGGCAAGGTGGGGGGACCTCGGCCCTTCCTGCTGAGACTGGGGGCCTAGAGGATGTCAGAGTTTGCTCAGGCTCTGGGGCCTCAGGGAAGCACAGGGGCCTGCTCCTTGGGGGCCACCTGCAGGGTGTGGCCATGGCCATGTCGTCTGGTCCTGGGTGGGGCTGACTCGCCCCTGCTGGTGGCTGGCACACAGTAGGTGCTTAGACTTGGGACTTCTTAGGACTTCCTCCTGGAGGGGCTGGCGGTCTGGGGGTACTGCTGACATTGCCGTGGGAGCACCAAGCCCTTTGCAGTGTCTCTCAACGTCAAGTCCTCCTGCCTTTGGCCTGACGAAGGCTCTGTGCTGCCGCCCTGGTCAGAGGGCTGGCTGCCACCATGTGCAACTCGGTGAGGAAGGGAGCCTGGCTGTAAGGTGCAGTTTTCCAGGTCGGCTGACTTCCAGGCATGGGGCAGGGAGGTAAGAAAGGCTGGGGTTCCTGGTGACAAGGGAGGAAGTTCCCTTCCGGAGCACTGGCTGTGGAGGCACAGGCAGCGGGCACTGCGTGGGGCAGAGACGCGTCCTGCCCACCCCCGGCTTTGTCTCTTCATCCAGGGGGCTTTCCAGGGGATCCGTCAGCCCTGGCCGTGGGCTCTCTCCCTTTCTAGGAGCCTAGCACACAGTAGGTGCTCAGCAAACATTTACTAAATGACCCAGCTTAGCTCGGCACCTTCTCTTTCTGCTGGGCAGTGGAGGTGCTGGAAGGATTATTCACCCCCCAATGTCACTCGTACCCGCCACAGCTCCGCAGGTCGGCCTCTTGTCTGGGAACATGGGTGGCCTTGGCCGTGCCTGGGAGGGAAACAGGGTTGCAAGAGGCGGGGGAGATTTAGGCTTTGGAAGCTGGCCTCTCTGAGCCACTGCAGCCTGGACTTCTAGCCCTGCACCTCAGTTCTGCTGCATCCGGTGTCCCCGACCAGCGCACGGCAGGAGGGAAAGCTGCCCGAGAACCACCTGGACCCTCGGCCTCCTCCAGCCGGTCACCACACGCTGGGCAGGAGCTGCTGGGGCCATTCTGGGACGCCTGTCTACTGTCCAGGGATGACCAAGGGCTTGACAGGGAGACAGGCCTCTTTCTGGAAGCCAGGGCTGGCTTTCCAGGACGGGGACCAGGGAAGGGCGGTGTGGCCCTGGGGTTCCTCCGCTGACCCTGACCTACCCGAGTGCTGACCCCAATGGGAGTTGGATTTGGCAGAGAAGGTGCTGGTGGCACTCAGGGGACTCGCCATACCGAGATGGGTCATGGCAGCAGAACTCTGGGGTCCCGAGCCCTCACCTGGATTGTAAAATCCACCCTGATCCGGCTTGTCCCCAGCCCCCAGTCTCCGGGCCCTCGCTGGCCTGCCTCGATCCTGACCTGCTCAGGGTGCCGTGACCTTCTCACTCTGAGCTCCTTGTGGGCTGGTCATTGTGGCTGGGGAGGGGAGGGAGGGGGAAGGGGGCGCAGAGGCAACAGTCTGGGGGCGTTCATTTAAGATTCTCCCATGTTCCTTGGTGCCGGGAGCCGGTCCATGCTTGCTGTTTCAAGGGACCTGGCATATATGGCATACTGTTCTTAATATGTTTGCTCACCTTCTTGGCACTATGTGTTTTAACCAAGGTCTCTGAGAAAGGTTGTTTCCCCAGGTAGGGATTTTCCCCTGAAGTTAGGGAGGGAATAAAACCTCTTAACTAAGTGCCAGGTGGGTAATTAATCACTTTAACTACGAACAATCATGCTTAAGCTACATAATCTTTACTCCCTGGAATGGAGATAAGAAATGCCCTAACCTTTGGAATAGAGATTGATAGGATTGGAATCAACTGGTATAAATACAGATGTAACATGACAGAACTTAGAAGACAGAACCTACACACAGAACTTAGAAGACAGAACCAAGGAGGCACAGAACCTACACAGAACGTTCTCTAGAGACAGAAGAACTTCGCCGGAGAGAACATGGCAAAAGATCCTGGACTGAACCTGACTACAGAAATTGGCAAGAGAACCTGACTAGAACCTGGAGAACCTAGCAAGAGAACATGGACACAGAACCTGGCTGGAGATCCTAAGCAGAACTTCGCTGGAGATCCAGACCAGAACTTGGCTGGAGATCCTGGCTAGAGATCCTGGCTAGGCTGCTGATCAACTGAACCCTGTCTCTGTGTCATTCCTTCTTCGCCGACTCCGTCCACACCTTTGGGGACCCCTGGACCTGCTGGGGTTGGACCCCAGCATATGGCGCCCGAACAGGGACCCCTAGGTAAGCACCCCGCACTCGGGACGGATAGGACTCCACCGTAGGAAGAGGGTGGATAGTCTTTGCCAACTCCGTCCACACCTTTGGGGACCCCTGGACCTGCTGGGGTTGGACCCCGGCACCTTGGGATTCTGAATACCTGTTAACCCTAAAAATACAGCCACCTCCTGTGCATGCCCTGTGCCTGGTGCCCGCGGCTCCAGCAGGCAGCCTCAGCAGGCGCCCGTGTCCTGGCTGAGTCGGACTCAAGGCCACTGGGTCTGGTCCCAGACTCTCCTTTTAAAGAGAGACTCTGAGAGGGAGACTGAGAGGGAGGCAGCCAGTACAGAAGAAAGAGGGCTTCTCTGGGGCTGGGCCTCTGGCCCCAACCTCGACCCAGGGGGGCCGTGGGGGGGGGGAGGGTGGCACCTGCCTCCCTGGGCCTGTCTCCTTCGAGAGTAAAAGCAAGGAGTGGGCGCTGCTCCCTAAGGCCCCTGTGAGCACACGGCCAGTGCCCTCTGGGAAAGGCTTGCTCCGGTGGCATGAGGGCACAGCACGGACCCCGAGGTCATGCCTCAGGGTCAGACATGGCCCCTCCTAAAGGGGAGGGTAGGTCCCTGCACCCCCAGGCGGGCTAGAGAGGAACGTGCCTCCACTGAGGGCAGCACTCCAGAAAGCCTCGGCGCCCAGCTCCCAAAGGACTCTTCCAAAGCGCCCCAGCCCGTGGCTCCCGCCTCCATGAACCGGGCGCCAGGGCCTGGGAGGCAGCCTGATCAGCGAGGGAAGTGGGACAGCTGGGTGCGTGCTGGTGGTGGAGACGAGGGGTCACAGTGTTTACAGAGTCTTCCCTGAAGCACCCACAAGTAGAAGTCTCTATATATCTGTATTTATATTTATACATATATAATACTCAGACGCTCTACTGAGGAAAAGCACACATCTACAGGTTCCTCCCGGGCAGTCCTTCTGTCCCGCCAGAATCCGTAGAGCTAACCACAGGGCAGCCGGTCCTGGGCCTGTGGCCGAGGGGCCTATGGTGTGGACACCCTGTGGGCATCTTCCGGCTCATCCAAGCCCTGCAGCCGCCCTCACGCCCTTCTCTCCAGGGCCTGGCTCAGTTCTCCCGTTACCCCTCCCAGAGCCTCCTGGAAACTCGGTGTCACTCGAGGGGCACCTGCAGTCTCCCCATCGTGCTCTGCCAGGACCGCCTGCGTGGCCTGGGCATGGGCAGAGGGCCTGGCCCAGGAGCGGGCGTGTCCTGGAAACAGCAGGCGGAGGGAGGGAGCGAAGGAGAAAGGCTGCTGTAAGCAATGCTTCCCGGGGGCAGCGCTGGGAGCGGTGGCTGGGCCGGGCTCTGCCTGTGCTGGTCTCGCCCTCCACGGGCTGGTCAGCGCTTCCTGAAGGGCAGCCCCACGGCCACACGGGGGCCCTGGCGCCTCTTAGCTTCTGCTGGGGGCGGGCCCTCCCTCACCCCCTGGGGACGCTGCCGGCAGGAGCGGCGGGTGCACGGGCGTTATTTGTAGGGCCGCAGGAACCGGGACACCTTGGAGCGCAGCAGTTTGATGAAGGAGCGTGGGAACATCTCTTTGGACTCCTGGGCCGTGTACTTGAAGTAGTTCTGGGGGTGCGCCAGCACGTCGAAGAGCGCCTTGATCAGCTTCTTGTCCTGCAAGACATGGCCGGGCCGGGTGAGGCCAGGTTTGGGCTGGAGGGCCCTGGCCGCCACCCTCTGCAACGCCCGGGGGGCCTGGCGGGGGCTGAGGGGTGTCGGCACAGGTGTGGGGCGGGGGCAGATGCTGGGCTGCTGGTGAGTTTCAGGAGCCCACACTCTCTGCCATAAATGGCTTTTACTTTTAAGTGTCAAATTTTTAAAAAAAATATTTTTATTGATTTCAGAGAGGAAAGGGGAGGGAGAGAGATAAAGAAACATCAGTGATGAGAGAGAATCATTGATCGGCTGCCTCCTGCACGCCCCATGCTGGGGATCGAGCCCGCAACCCAGGCATGTGCCCTGACCTGGAATTGAACCGTGACCTCCTGGTTCATGGGTCCACGCTCAACCACTGCGCCGCGCTGGCTGGGCTCGAATTATTTTTTTTTTTTTTTTTATTTTTTTAAATATATTTTATTGAGTTTTTACAGAGAGGAAAGGAGAGAGATAGAGAGTCAGAAACATCGATGAGAGAGAAACATCGACCAGCTGCCCCCCGCACACTCCCCACCGGGGATGTGCCCACAACCAAGGCACATGCCCCCGACCGGAATCGAACCTGGGACCTTTCAGTCCGCAGGCCGACGCTCTATCCACTGAGCCAAACCGGTTTCGGCTCGAATTAGTTTTTAATAGTCTATTGGGGGAACGTGAGATCTTGCTCCCGGCATATGTCAGTTTGGCTCAAATAAACTCTTAAAAAAACAGTCTACTGGTTTCAACTTTTGGAGCTCCAATGCTCCTTAATTTAATAAGGGTTCTCCTGCAGAAAACAAGGCCTCTCCTGGGAGGACCCAGGGTCTTGACCTGGAGTGTCAGCTGCTGACGCCATGGCCCCTCCGTGACAAGGTGGCTGTGTCTCCGGGCCATGGATGGGATGAGGAGGGAGTCCGTCCCAAAGGCTGCATCGGATTCCATTGATTTAAAGATACCACTCTGTCAACTACCTCACTTCACAGATGAGGCGAGGGGCTCAGAGCTGGTAAGGGACCTGCCCCAGGACAGGCCACCAGGTCGGGGGCTAGACCCCACAGAGAGCTGGTTTTGGAGCTCCTGGTCTGGAAGGACAGAGGTGCCAGCCTCAGCCCCACCCCCAGGGCCCTCTGACCCCCCACCTTCCCTCACCAGGGGGGCTGGGCAGGGAGGTCCCTGGAGCCCACAGCCTGTCCTGGGGTTGCACAAATCCCTTCCCATAGAGAAGCTCACGCACCTTCAAAATCTCCTGGTGATTCTCCGAGGCGTAGAGCCGTCCGTCTCGAACGATGTCTTCTATCAACTGCTGGTAGTCCTCTGCGAGCCGCCGGGAGGGAGGGAGGGAGGTGAGGGCTCCGGACCCCTTGCCCCTCTCCCCCACAACCTCTGCCCCCCCTGTGCCAGCCACAGGCAGCTCTGCCTCTGCGCCTGTGTGCCCTGTACCCACATTGTTCTCCTTGAGGTTTGGTGAGCGAGAAAACTCCAATTTAATCCTCAAAACGCTGCTCGAGCAGCACCAATTGCTCCCTCCTCAGTGCCCTGGACCCATTATGGGCCTGTTCCCCTCCCCCAGGCTGCAGCCCCTGGGGCTGATGGGCTGGCCTCTGTGAGCCCGGGGCTGGTCTGAGCCCATTATGGGCCTGTTCCCCTCCCCTAGGCTGCAGCCCCTGATGCTGATGGGCTGGCCTGGACCCATTATGGGCCTGTTCCCCTCCCCCGGGCTGCAGCCCCTGAGGCTGATGGGCTGGCCTCTGTGGCCTGGGTGGCCTGGGCTCGGGGCGGTGTGGCCCACTTACCGTCATAGGTGACATAGGGCACCTGGAAGCCTTTGCCGCTGTTGCCTTCGTTGGATCTGAACTGGATCCAGAGCTTCCGGGAGCGGGAGGTGAAGGCGATGGGCCTCTCGTAGGTCTGGCAGGTCTCGTAGGTGGTGATAGATGTGGGCGAGGCTGGGGGTGAGGACACACCATTGCTCCTCTCCTCCCCCTCCCAGGAGCCAGCGCCCACCACGCCCACTGCTCCAAAGACCCTCTCTCTAGTCTCCACACTGTTCCCTCTGCCTCAGATGCCCTTCCCCACCCCCATCCCCAGTTCCTAATTGTCCTGCTGAGCCCGTTTCCATGCCCCCTCCTCCAGGAAGCTGCCCTGACTGTTCATCCTCCCTGCAAGTTGCCGCTCTGCTCTGGCAAACCCTTTATTACTGCCTCTCTATAGGTGTCACTGTCCTGCCACCTGCTCCTCAAGGCCAGGGCTCATGCCTGCACCAGCGCAGAGCCAGGGTTGAGGTGGAGGCTCAGATGTGGGAGTGACCCCGCCCTGTGAGGGCCTGGGTGCCCTCTTCTCACCGCCCCGGGAGCCTTCCTGACTTGCCTTTGAGGTGGGAGCGGCTGGCTCCCCTGGAGCTCAGCCCTGTGTGTGCACAGTGGAGGGAGGGGCGTAGCTGGGGGCTGGTGACAAGCATGGGCAGGGGACAGGGTCCCAGGCTGGGCTCTGAATTTCCATGGGAGCCTGGGCAGCTCTGCCCTCTGTGGCCTCGGTCCTATTGGAAGGTGGGATTTTCTAGCTCATCAGCTGCACTGAGGGGAAGACGGTGACGAGACCCAGTGCAAAGGGCTCAGCCTGCCCGGGCTCCGCTGGTCTCTACTCCAGGGGCAGCCAAGGCCCCGGTGGCAGGTGCGTTTGTGCGGTTGCCTGTGTCCTCCCCCGACCTCTGACTGGGAGCTTGCCCCAATGGGCACCACTGCCCCACGGCAGCGCCCACTGGGAGGAATTCAGCTGGTCCTGGGGGCACTCCAGGGTAGCTCTGCCTTGCTGGCTGCCATGGCCATCTGGGCTCACACCTGTCCGGTGGTGGAGGGGCCACCTGAAGACTTACCACAGGCCCCTGATGGGGGTGACAAGCCAGGAGGCTGGGGCTCATGGAGGGGAAGGGGCGGGCTGTCGACCTGGGCATCCTGTGTGCGGGCACACACTGGCTCTTTGCCACATGCCACCCCACACTTCAGAGGAAGGAGGCCTGTGGAGGAGGGGTCACTCCCGGGCCTCACCCTGGCCTGTGTGGCAGGACTGGTGTATGGTCAGTGTAGAGACCAGCCTAGACCAGGTCCTGATTCCCATGCCCAGGGCACCCCGGAGCTTTCCAGACTTTCCACAGAATGCTGCAGAGCCCATGGCTTAGGGTCAGACAGAAGTGGATTTACACCCAGAGTGCCCTTGCCGGTGTGGCTCAGTGGATAGAGCGTTGGCCTGCAGACTAAAGGGCCCCAGGTTCGGTTCTGGCCAAGGGCACATGCCCGGGTTGCGGGCTCAATCCCCGGTGGGGTGGGGGGCGTGCAGGAGGCAGCCGATCAATGATCCTCTCTCATCATTGATGTTTCTATTTCTCCTTCCTCTCCCTTCCTCTCTGACATCAATAAAAATATATCTAAAGAAAAATAAATAAACCGGGGTGACGGGCGGCGCGTGGCCGAGCCTGCCTCCGCGGCACCTACCGCTCTTGCGCATGACCAGGGCGTCGCCGCACTCGTCCTCAGCGGGCAGGAAGATCTCGGGGACCACGATGAGGATCCTGCGCTTGGGGGGCGGGGAGATGTACCACACGCACTCTGCGTTGGCCGGGTAGTCGCCGGGGTAGTTGGGGGACTCGATGTAGCCCATGTAGTCGCCGAGCTCCCCGCCGCAGTGCTGGTCTGTGGGCACGGGGCCCGCGGGCTGGTCAGGCCCAGCTGATGGGTGCCCTGGCCAGCTGGGCCCTCGGCAGCCTTGAGGTTGGCAGGTGCTCTGTCCCCACCTTGCCCACCTCCACCCGCCCCCCCGCCCCCCCGCCCCCCAGTCAGCCAGGCCTGGAGCTGCCTTCTCCTGGGGACCCTCTCACAGCCTCCCTGGCCTGGCCTGGCTTCTCCTCCATAGACCCAGCCCCGAGGTGCAGGCCGCCCTGGTGAGCAATGGAACAGAGAACGCCGGGTGCGATGACGGCGCTCTGCAGCGCGGGCCGAGCCGGGCACAGCCTCCACACTGTGGGGCTCCCTGCCCAGGCCCCTCCCAGCACCCCAGCCCCTCCCAGCACCCCAGCACCTACTTTTGCAGTGCGTGACGTTGGTGGAGCCATCGAAGTCAGTGCTGGTGTTGCCTGGGCAGGTGATGCAGTGGTTCTGGCCAAACTCGGGCTGGTAGGTGCCAATGGGGCAGCGGATGCAGCGGTGGGAGGTGGTGTTGTAGTGGTGGCCGGGGGAGCAGTGCACTGGGGGGCAGGGGTGCATTGGGGGGGGCATTCTCCCCAAGGCCTCCCTGCACCTGAGGTCTCAGCAGAGTCAAGGCCCTTCCCCACTGCCTGGTGCCCTCCCACCAGCGTCTAGTCCCTCTCTCCCCACCCTGTCTGCAGCGTGCAGAGTGCTCTGGGCCTCCGCGGTCTGAGCGGGGGGGTGGGGGGTAGGGGGGTGGGGGGGGTTGGAGGGGAGGAGGGGGGAAGCAGACCGAGTCTGCCTCGAGGCCAACATCCCACTAATGAGCATGCGGCATGTGGCAGGGGCTGTGGGGAAGGAAATGTGGGTTAGGGTGGAGTTCCCCAAGGGCCACTGAGAAGGGACTTGGGCTCCAGCACACAGGGACCCTGGAGGCCGCTCTGCCGGGAGCAGTTCTTGGGGAGCAGTGGGGGTGACTGGCTGGCTGGCTGGTGGGGTTCAGGAGAGAATGAGGGAGAGGGAGTGGAGTCCAGACACTCGTTCTATGAGGCTGAGTCACGGGAAGGAAAGGAGGCAGGAGTGGAGTGGGGGCGCTGGAGCAGGGGCTGCCTCCCTCAGAACAAGGGCTCAGAGAACCCGTGTTCCTAGCACATGGGGGTGTCAGAGGGGCTCCCCAAAGGCGTGTCTGAGAGGGAGCGTGCCTGTGCCCCGGGTGGGGGGGAGTGGTGGAGCTGCAGTCTGGTGGCCCTGGAGGGACGGGGTGTCCAGTGGGGTGACTCTGACCTGGCCCCACCGTCCCTGCTGCCTCCTGCACTCACCTTCCTGCCCCACCGTCCCTCTACATGAAGCACCCAGAGGAGCGGGGGCTCCCCTCTCCACCCCGGGGGCTCAGAGCCCTTGCCCACAGCTCAGGCTGTGGGGGCCCCGCTGTCCTGCCCAGTGGGTGGCACAGCCGATCGCCAGTGTCCAGCGCCTGATGGCTCCAGGCTCCGCCTCTGACCCGGAGGTGTGTGGGTGGGAAATGGTCCCCGAGCAGCTCAGCCAGCCTGGGGGTGAGTGGGGCGCCCTCACCTTTGGCCTCGCAGTCTTGGAAGGAGGCCATGCCCTCGTGCTTGGTGAGCAGTCCCCCGCCGCAGGGGAAGCAGCTGGTGCGCCCGGGCTCCGGCTGGTACGTGCCCACGGGGCAGGCCTGGCAGGGCCTGAAGCCGTCGGCGGAGAAGGAGCCGGGAGAGCACTGGCCTGGAAGACGAGGCCACGGCTCGCTCAGGCCGGCAGGAGGGGCCTCGTCCAGCCCTGCCCTCAGCCCTCAGCCCTCATCTGCCCCTGGGAAGGGCACCAAGCACCAAGGTTGGGGTGGCTAGGGGGAGGACCCTGGGGGAGGGAGCCTGGGGTGCCTGAGCCTGCCACCCACCCGTCTGGCGGTCAGAGGCTCACGACCGTGTGGCTTGGCCAGGCCTGGCTCTCCTTCTCCCACCAGCAAGAGGAGAAGAGGCCTTGTGCCAAGCCGGGTGTGTGTGTGGGCCCCACAGTGGAGATGGGGAGTGGGGAGGGGACTTCTTTCAGAGGGACTGTCCCCCGAGGGCAGGCCACGCCAGGGCTCACAGCAGGACCGAGGGCTCTCAGCTCAGGGCTGGCACTGCCTTGGCCTGTGCGGGGGGGGAGGGCCGAGGTCCCCTGGGGACAGCGCCTAGCGAGGCAGGACGGAGTGTCCCTGGCGTGGCCTGCGGGGCGGCTAGTGCCCTTTCGGCCCAGACTCTGGGTTCTCTGCTCCCCGCACTGGCCACTCCGAGCTCCCCGCCCTCTCCTTCCCGGCTGGGCCCACACTTGCCTCCACATTCAGATACGTTGCGGGCACCAGCCAGGCCGAGCCCGTCGCTGCTGGGGCACGGAGTGCAGCTGAGCTGGCCTTCCCCATCCTGGTAGGTGCCCGGCGCGCACGGCACACACTGGCCGGGATCCCCGCTGAAGTAGGAGCCGGGCTCGCAGGCCACTGCAGGGGCAGAGCGGAGAGTCTCCTGGTGGCCGGGCTCCTGGTGCCTCAGGGCCCCCTGTGAGGACCCTGGCGGCCAGACCTGGTCCCAGGCCCCTCCTGGCTGCTCCTGCTGACCCCTCCCCGCCGTCTTCTGTGCAGGCTGCGGTCCAGGCTCCAGCGGGACCTTCGTCCTCTCTCAGCCCACATCCTGCCTGCAGCTCTGAGCCCTTGGCCTGCGTTCCATCTGCCTCCTGGATGAGACACGGTCATTTCGTCCAAACCCAGCTCCCCTGCCCCCCCTTCCCCCTGTGGAGGGAGGTGACGCCTGAGGACGTGGGACAGCAGAGAGCGGGGGAGTGATGGAGGCTCGGGCAGGAAGGCAGGGGCAGAGGTGGTGGGATGCAGACAGAGCCAGTGTGGTTGGCTGCACTGAGCAAATAAGCAAACGGAGGAGCAACAGAGGGAGCTGATGGGGAAGGTGAGGGCTCTGAGGGTCCCGGGGGAGGGCGGGCGTGTGGGCTGGAGGTGATGCTAGCAGGCGCTGGGGCACGTGGGGCCGAGGCTGCCAGTGTCCACAAGGGGGACCTGGGTGAAGAAATACGGAAGTTGTGTTCTGTCTGGCAATGTTTCTTAAAGTTTGAAATGATTTTAAAATATATTACTAAAAATAAAAGAATGAAGAAAAGTGGGGGAAATAGAAGAATGGCAGAGAAAGGCAGCACTGCCCACTCCACTGCCTGAGCCGGGACCCCGCCCTCCCCGCCCTTCGCATCTCCTGCCCGCCGCCCCCGTACCGAAAACCCCTTATCCGGCTGCCCCCGTTATCCTCTGGCCAGACCCGTGCTCTGGCTTTGGGGCTCCAGCGCCTCGTTAAGGTCTTCACGGGGTGACCCCCGAGCGGCTCGCGCTAACAAGCACAGGGCAGCTCCGCATCTGGGTCCCTCCCCGAGGCCCCAGAGCGGGGGGTGAGGCCACTCCGCCCAGGAAGCCCGAGCCGCCGTGTGGCCGTGTGGTCCCGAAGCCCCTGAGGTCCTCTGAGTGCACCGCCTTCTCTCCACCGCCCCTGCCCCCTCCTGAGTCTCCCCTCTGCCTGGCCTCCCCCCCACCGCCCGCCCTCCGCTCAGCGTCCCCACAGCGGACGGTGGGCCGGGTGCTCCCAGGCACCCAGAGCAGCCCGCCCGCCAGGTCCGCTGCTGCATGCTGCCCGGGTGTGCCGGCATGCTCACCACCGGCTTCTCCCCAAGTGAACCACACCCCACGCTCAGCACCCGGGGCTGCTGCAGCCCCGTCTCCTCCCAGCAGGCCCCCCTGGGGGGTCATGTCACCAGCCTCGTTCACTTGGACCTGCTGGCCGTGCCGCACCCCTGGGGGCCCTCGGCCTCACGTACTTCTGCTCTCGGCCCCTGCTCTGCCCTCAGCCCCCCGCCGCCCCCGGCCCTGCCTCCACTGTCTCGCTGGCCTGTGCTCTCCGTCCCACGGGCAGGACTGCGGTGCAGGTCACGTGTACAAACACGCACCGAGTGGGAGCCTCGCCAGGGCCCGGCGCCAGGGAGTGTCTTCCGGGACAGCCGCTGTGACAGTGCCACCTGCTCCCCTCTGGCGGCCTCGCGCTTCTCTGTCCCCGCCCTCGTGTGCCCCTTCCCCGGGCCGCGTGGAAGGAACGGGGGAGAAAGTGGCTGTGCCGGGACTCACCGCATGTGCTGTCCTGCAGCGTCTGGCCTGTGCTGCATGTGCCCTGGCCCTCCGGGGCCTTGGCTGGCTGTTGGGCCACCTCGTACTCGGTGCCCGCGACCTGGATGGAGAAGAGCTGCCGGCTGACGGCCTTCCGCAGGGTCCTGATGGCAGCCTGCACGCTCTGCTCTGCCCGCCTCCGCACGCAGTCCGCCTCGCAGGTGTCTACAGGCCCGAGAGAACGTCACACACCTCCCCCCTTCCAGCCCCCCCCACCCCAGCTACCTCTTCCCCAGGCTTCCCCTCTGCCCTCTGCCGGCACCAGCACCGCACTGGGCCAGGCCACTGCTGGGAGCACCTTCTTGCAGCAGCCCTGGGGCGAGGCACCACTGCTGCGTCCATCTTACAGAGGAGGAGACCGAGGCTCCCAGAGCTATCGCCTGCCCAAAGCCAGGCCTCTGCCCCGCCACACATCCCTCCCCGGGGCTCACCCACTGGCGGTGCTCCTGCTGCCACCCAAACATCCTGCCCCCGTCCCCAGGAAAAGGCCCAGCTCCCTGGCCTCGCACCCAGGGCCCCTCCTGGCATGGTCCCCCGCGCGAACTCCGCTTTAGACGCCCTGACTGCCGCGCGGCTTTCTGGACACATCTTGCTCTGTGACCTGTGCCTTGGCCTGTTCTGCTTGCTCTGCCTGGATGCCAGTCCCGGCCCCTCTCCATTGGGTGAACTTTCATTTCAAGCCCTGAATCCAACGGCACCTCTGGGAGGACTTCCTGGGGCCCGCCCGGGGGTAGACTTCAGGTGCCCGTTGGTTCTCACGCCCCTCGACCTCGCGTCTCCCCAGCACGGGGCGGTCTGTGTGCACCTCTGCCTCCCCGAGGCTGGAAGTGCCACCAGTGGGGGGGCCCTGGTCTGGTCCCCGCATTCCAGTGTCCAGGGGCTGGGCACACACAGCCACATGTGCTGACAGATCTCAACTCCTCTCACTGCTCACCACTCACTCACAGCAAAGAGGAAGGTGTTGGTACGAAACATGAGCCAGAATTACCAACCCCGGGGAGCCCGGGAAGACAGGCCTTTGGCTGGTCTGTTCTGGGAAGGCTGCGGGTTAGCCCTCCAGGCCTGTGGCTGTCCCTGGGCCCTGAGCCCTGAGCCCTGCTCCTCTCATGGCCCTGGGCCTCCTCTGCCATCCTGGCTCCGGGCAGTTCTCTGCCAGTCCTCGCCTGCCAGGCTGGCCTCGACCTCCAGCAGCCGTGGCTGGGCTGGGAGCCAGCACCATGCCCACAGATCTTGCCACCCCCCAGTGTGTGGGCCTCCCCGACGCCCTCCACAGCCCCCGGGGGACCCCTCACCCACCTGAGGCCTCTTCCTTTGTCTCCACCTCAAGCTCTGCTGTGATGTGGGTCACCTCCTTGGATGGGGACTTCCGGCCACGGCGCCTCTTCTTGGAGGAGTCACACTTGAGGGTCACAAAGGTCACGTGGCTGTTTTCTGGACAAGGCAGGGGCCGCTGTGGCCAAGTGGCACAGGCAGGGAGCAGGTCCTACCCAGCCGTGCACACAATGGCCTCATGGTCCCAGGTGCACACGGGAAGCTGAGGCTGGAGGCCAGGGCTGGCTCTAGGTGCCAGAGGGGCTGGTGGCTGAGCCGGCTCTGCTGGCCCTCGGAGCCCATCCCTGGAGGCGCCTCCTGCATATCCCTGTGCAGCTGTACCAGAGGCTCCGCTCAGGGCGGGGAGCAAGCCTGAGGGGCTCGGCGATCTTCATGGAGGCAGAGCGGTGCTGCCTCCCTCCTGGTCCCTCTCACCAGGCTTCCCCCGCTAGTCCCCGCCGGACCTCCTCCTGGGCCGCCCTCACCGAGGAACGCATTGCTAAGCGAGCCCTGTGATTCCTGCCACTGGACAGCCTGGCAGAAAGCCCTTGCTCTGGGGGCTCACTGACCCCTGGTGAGGCAGCGACGATGGTCCCACTTCCTGCTGACCACCTTCCCAGGGACCCCCATGGTGGTCTACAGTGCACAGGTGTGGCCGCTGGGCTGAGGGGCCAAGGGGTAGCTTTCAGCAGCCCCCGCCCTGCTGGGCCCTGGCTCCCAGGCACGGGAACCCCGCCCTGTGTGGGCTGGTACCGGGTGGCCCACTCACCCAGCAGCAGCTGCCTTGGGGCCTCCTTGACTGGCTCCCGGCTGCGGGGCCGGAGGTGGCACTTGGCATCTCGGATCTTGAAGCGCGCCTTCTGCCTGATGGGGGTGGCGGGGGCACCTGGGGAAACCAAAGTCCCCCAGGTGGTGGCCTCTCCTGTGGGCAGGAGGTGGTGGGGCCGGGGCTGCAGAGGGAGTGCCTGGGTGTGAGGGGCTGCCAGGGCGGAGGGGGCCCTCCGCTGCCTCCCTGCTCTCTCTGTGAGGCCTGAGAAAGGTGAAGTGTGGGTGGTGGGGGCAGGCTGGAGCCAGGGCCTTCCAGCCAGAATCTTGTGTGGAGGAAGGAAGGCCCGCACCCTAACCCCAACCCCAGAGCCAGCTCACGTGGCCTGGGTGCTCAGGGAAGCGGGAGAGGAGAGAGGGCAGCCGGGAGGGAGGGTGGAAGTCTCAGATGCCCGACTACTGCTTCCTTGGAGGAGCAGACCAGAGCCCCTGGACTAAGGCAGCAGCAGTCACAGGTGCTGAGAGTCATGTCATGGGTTAGACACACGCAAAGGCCATGCCACTGAGTCCGCATCCTGGACGGTTCAGGCGTGGGACACGGCCTCTCCTGCCAGGTGGCAGCGGCCTGGGCCACGCTGGCACTTGGGGGCAGGGTCTTCCCTGGCAGCGCTGACTCAGGGGCTTTAGAACTTAATGGCCCCAGCGGGTGGGACTTGCGCCCCTGAAACCCACACCTCAGGGTCGATGAGCCGCTCTGTGCTGGGGTCCAGGAGCCTCGGGGTCAGAGGAGTCCTTCCGAGGTGCCAGCCCGCGGCCTGCTGGCTGCCAACACCCAGGAAGCTCCCCTCTGGGCCGTGCCCACCCCTCACCCCCTAACATGGAGACCCGGGGGGAGGGGGGGACTGGGGCGCACGGCCAGGCCAGGGCTACCTGCGCAGCTGGGCCCGGTGCTGGAGCTGGTGCCGTTGCGCTTCTGCGGCGTCCTGCCCTGGAGGCTGGGGACCCCGCAGCTCAGACTGTAGCTGTTTTCTGAGTCTGTGGAGAGGTGGGTGGTGAGGCGCACCCGGTACTCTCTTCCAGCGCCCCAGGTCCCCCAGGCCTCCGAGGGGCAAGGGAACGAGATGAAGGTCAGGGCCTAGCCTTTGTCAATTCCTTCCTGCGACGAGACTACAGGGTACGCGGAGCGGAGGGACACCGTGGCCCGTGGAGACCCAGGCAGCTGCCCAGGGCCACTCCGTGAGCAGGGCTGGGCCTCACCCCCCTCAGGCTCCTTCCTGGGGAGCAGCAGGAGCGGGGGCTGGACCCGGGGAAGAAGCCCCCACCCAGCCCATCCCGGGACAGCCTGGGTTACCTGGCACAAAGTGCGTGTGGGCCGGGCAGGCGAGGGAGCAGCTCTCCACCCCGCCCGTCTTGCTGCACCACAGCTGGGCCCGGGGGAAGGCCTTGGCCGGAGAAAGGCACCTGCCTGTGTCTGAGAAGGAAGACAAGAGAGGCGTGAGGGGCCACGGAGGGGGCTTTCTGAGGGGGACTGCCCCTCACCTGTCGCCGGGCCAGACCGTCTCGGTGGGAAGGGGCTGGGAGACGGCAGAGTCCACAGGCCCAGGATTCAGGCTCGAGCCCTAGTGGGCGTGCAGGAGGCAGCCGATCAATGATTCTCTCCCATCATGGATGCTTCTCTCTCTCTCTCCCTCTCCCTCTCCCTTCCTCTCTCTGAAATTAATAAAAATATATTTTAAAAAAATAGTCTGGCAGGTCCTCCAAGCTAAACACAGTGACTGCGTGGCCAGCAGTTCCATCCCCAGGTATCTACCCAAGAAAACGGAAACATGTTCCCACAGACCCTGCAGCGAAGGCCAGAACGCCCCGACGGAACAGCGCACCGTGCACCGCTGACGAGGATACACAGCGCGGCTGTCCGCTGGGACAGCGTTCGGCAGCGCAGGGAATGAGGGCCTTGGCCGCACGGCTCAGTCGTTAGCGCATCAGCCTGAGGACTGGAGGCTGTCAGGCTTGTTCCCTGCCAAGGGCGTGTGTTTGGGTGGCAGGTTCAATCCCTGTTCCTGGTTGGGTCCCAAGTGGACGACCAATGGATGGGTCTCTTCCACACTGATGTTTTCCTCTGTCTCTTCCCCTCCCCGCTCCCTTCCTCTCTGAAAAATAGCAATGGAAAAAATATCCTCACTCCTTGAGGGAGGATTCAAAAAAAAAAGGACCGAGGCCCTGGCAGTGCTCCGACGTCCGCGAGCCCTGCAGACACTGACGGCCGCCTGGGCCTGGGCCGGAGGGAGATGGGGGGTGACAGCTATGGGCTGGGTTTCTTTCTGGAATGAAAACGCTCTAGAACTGACAGGGGTTGCACAGCTGTGACTGTACTGAAAACTATCGACTCACACACTTTATTATTTTTTAAAGCATTTAACTTCATTGTTTATTTATGTATTTATTTTGTTAATACTCGCCCAAGGGTATTTTTCCATTGATTTTTTTCGGGAGAGTGGAAGAGAGACGGAAAGACAGAGAGAAACATCGACGTGAGAGAAACACAGTGATGGGTTGCCTTCTGCACAAGCCCCGACCAGGAATCCCCAGGCTGGGGAGGAGCCTGCAACCAAGGTACGTGCCCTTGACTGGAATTGAATCCAGGACCCTTTGGTCCACAGGCCGACACTCTATCCACTGAGCCAAACCAGCTAGGGCACTCTTTATTTTTATTTACATTTAAGTATATTTTTATTGATTTCAGAGAGAAAGGGAGAAGGAGAGCGAGAGAAACAGCAACGATGAGAGAGAATCATTGATTGGCTGCCTCCTGCATGACCCCTACTGGGGATTGAGCCCACAATCAAGGCATGTGCCCTTGACCGGAATTGAACCTGGGACCCTTCAGTCTGTGTGGTGGACTGTCCAGACCCCAAGCACCAGCAGAGGGCAGAGGATCCCTCGCTCTAGGAGGCCTGCCTCACGCTGAGGGGCTGGCAGCCTGGGCAGGGGTGGGTCTGAAGAGACCCGGATGCTCCCCTGTGCTCCCCATCCAGGCTCTGCTGCTGCTGCACCCGGAACCCCCACACCCCCAGCTTCCTTGGCAGGACAAGGGGGAGCCAAGGCCTCCACTCCCTCCCTCTGAGCCTCCAGCACCTCCTGAGCCCACTGCACATGCTGTGCTGTACATGCTGAGCCGACTGCACATGCTGAGCCGACTGCACATGCTGTGCTGCACATGCTGAGCCCACTGCACATGCTGAGCCCACTGCACATGCTGAGCCCACTGCACATGCTGTGCTGTACATACTGAGCCCACTGCACATGCAGTGCTGCACATGCTGAGCCCAGGCCCCACTCACCCCCCGTCTGTCAGTGCTCCGTTGCCCCCTAGGCGCCCCGCCACCATGCCCCCTCACTTCTGTAGGACTCATTCTCGTCAGCCAGGGGCCAGCAGCAGAGGCACCTGCCCAGCACCTGCCTAGATCACCTGCCTGCAGAAGCCACTGCCCCTCCCTGCCCACTAGGCACGGAACAGAGGGGTGGGTCCCAGTGATGCCCACCCCAGGGCACCTGCCCCAGGGCACTCACCCACGCAGTCCTTCCGGTTCCAGTGGAGTCGCCTCCCTGGGGGGCAGACGCACTCGAAGCTGCCCTTGGTGTTGACGCAGCCCTGGTCGCAGCTCCCGTTGCTCATGCTGCACTCGTCCACGTCTGCAGCACAGGCGGGGGGAGGGCAAGAGGGTAAGGGCAGGAGGGGCAGGACTGGCCAGCCCAGGCCACGCCCTCGGGGCAGGAGGGCTGGGAATCCCCTGACCCTAGCCTGACACTGTCACTGTGCAGACACGGGGCTGCACACACCACACATCCAAGCATGCACACACACGTGAACACACACACGTGAGCACACACAAGACTCCCCCACACACCGACACACCCCTCCTGCCCAGGCGGGGGCCGGGCAGAACAGTGGCACAAAATTAAAGTTCCCATCAGGTCTGTGGGGCAGGAGGAGCACTGGCCCAGGGACCGTGCGGCCTCTTCTCACTGTGGGACTTGGGACAGGCCCTTCCCAGCCCCGCCTCCTGTCCCACGGGCACCGGCGGAAAGAAGTCACCTCTGAGCCTTTCCTCCTCGGACCGCCAAGGCCAAAAGCTCCCGTCATGGGGGAGGGCCAGACTGTAGACTGCATTCACACTGGGGTGCACGACTGTGCACACCCCGGCCGCCCACATTTGGGGAACGGCCGGCCCAGGGAAGCTGGTGCCCAGGTTTTGGGGAGTCCCTGCAGCCTACCCCAGGTGCTACCCCCAGCACCAGCTGTGCCTGATCACTTCCCTGCCCCACCCAGCGGGCCCTCACGGCTGCCCCAGGCACAGGGAGGGAAGAGACACCCAGGACCACAGGGGACCTGTGTGCATACCCCTGCCAGTCCCAAGTCTGTGCCTCCTCTGCGCCCCTCCCGCCCTGCCCGAGCTCCGGCAGCTCTGGCTCCCATGTCTGGAGCTGTCTCCACACTGGTGCCTGGGTTCCGCTCTCCTAAACACATGGCAGCCAGAGCAGTCTTGGTACATGAACTTGGCCATGTCCCAGGCCTGAGTAAAGCTTCCAGGGGTTTCTCTTCTCACAGGGAATAGAGCCCAAGTCCCCTCCGGGCTCATGAAGCCCCGTATCCCACCTGCACCTCCCGCCATGCTCATGGGGCTCTGGCCTCCCTGGCTGCCTCTGGGTCACTCTGCCTCAGGGCCTTTGCACATGCTGACCCCTCTGACAGGCTCCCCCTCATCTTGACCCAACCGCTCCTCCTTCAGGATCCCTCACCGCCTCCCTGCTCTGCCCTTCTCTGTTGCCACTTCTCCCACTGAATGAACTGCCTATTGGATTCTCTGTGGCGACCACCCTCTTCCAGACGGGAGTTCCCTGTAGCTGTTTCTAGGTCTATGCCCACAACCTGGCCAAGGCTTAGCACCCAGTGGGTACTTGCTGCCCCTCCTTTGGCTGAGCCCCTCTGCCCACCAGTCTCCAGCCTCCCTTAGCCCCCCAGGCTCGTCAGGGTGAGGGTGAGGGCGTGGGGTGCGGTGCAGGGGGCCGTGCGGCCGGCGCGTGCCTCGGGGGGAGGTGGCCTTGGAGGGCGGGCTGCAGACCTCCGCAGTGGGTTGTCCCGTAGAGCGTGTAGCCGCGGTGGCACACACACTGGAAGCTGCCTGGGGAGTTGACACAGATGTGGTCGCAGGTCCGCGCGAAGGAGCACTCGTCAACGTCTGCGTGGCCACAGGGAGAGAGTTTGGGGAGGCGTGTCAGGCGGGTGGAGGGGCACGCCTGCCCCTGGGCCCGGCTCAGTGCACAGCCCACCGGCTTCCTGTCGCTGCCTGGCTTTCCTTTGTCTCCACTGCCTGTGCTTCCAGGAGCCACCTCGTGTCTTCTCTGGAGGTGGGCAAGGTGGGAATATCTTGAATGGAAGGGTTATTATGAATTTCTGCCATTTTAATACCCCACAGTTAACTGTGATTAGGATTGGTTTTTAATTTTTTTAATATATTTTTTATTCATTTCAGAGAGGAAGGGAGAGAGAGAGAGAGAAATCTCAACGACGAGAGAGAATCATTGACCGGCTGCCTCCTGCACGCCCCCCAGTGGGGATTGAGCCCACAACCCGGGCATGTGCCTGACTGGGAATCGAACTGTGACCTCCTGGTTCATAGGGCAATGCTCAATCACTGAGTCACGCCGGCTGGATTGGTCTTTAACCCACCCCTGCAGGAAACTGACAGGGGCTAAGGAGGCAGCTGAACTGGGGCATGAAGCCAGGCCTCCTGGTTGCTGACCAAAGTATGTTTTCCCATCACCCCACATGCCTCTTCAGGAAATAAGGGAAACAGCAGACAGACAGGAGCAGGGGGGGTATGCTGCCCATGAGGGGAGTAAGGTGGCCTGGGCAGCATGTGAAACCTGACTCTGAGGTTCCTGGCAGCCGGGGTGAAAAGGAAGAGTGCTGCTGCTGGTGATGGAATAAGCCACATGCCCACAGGAGACAGGTCTGAGCTGCCGAGAATTCGGAGAACGGCTCCTGGGCACAGGTGATGGCGCCTGCTTCTCCATGGGCACTGCAGAGGGAGCTCATTCTCTGAGCACTTTAGCTCACGTGACTGCACGCATGTTCAGAATATGTGTGTGTTTGCAATAACGTGCTGTGGGCGCTCAAAGGAGGCTGTGATCCCTTCTGGGTGGGGGTCCGGGGAGAGCTGATGCTGTGGCCCTGAGCTAGTTTGCAATGAAGGAGTTAGGGTGGGGGAGGGAGCTGCAGGCAAAGGCGGGAGGTGGCAGCACAGGGCGCCCAGGGATTGTGAGGAGCTCAGGGGGGCTGGGGAGGTGTCTGGGGTCCCCGTCCCCGGGGCCCTGAGTGCCAAGCAAAGGTGCTTAGACTCCTCCCTGCTGGGGCTGGGGAGCCCTGGGTAGTGCGGGGGCAGGGGTGGGGCACGGCCAGAGCCCCAGGCCTTAGAGATGCGTCTGGAAGAGGCTGGAGAAGACACGGCCAGAGACCAGAAGCAGACACGTGGCCGCCTCCTTTTCCACCTTGGCAGCTGCCCGCCTCTCTCACAGGGCAGCTGGGGATGCAAAGTCAGAGGCCCCCTTCAGCCCCCCACAAGGCAGAGGGAGAAACAAAATCGAGTGCAGAGGGGCCGTGATTGGGGCCTGGACAGATGCTGAGCTCCCAGCACACCCTTGTGCCCTGAGAGGAAGCCTGGCCCTGGGTTGTGCTGAGCCCCTGGCTGGGCTGGCCCTGGGCCCTCCCTCACCCCTCAGGGCCTCGAGCTGCCCCGGAGCCAGGCTCTGAGTGGCAATCACAGGCAGAAGCTGCAAGCCCCACAGCCAGACTCGGCCATGCGTGGCTGCAGCTACTGGAACCCCGTGGACACGAAATGACTAGACCGTAACAGTAATTGTGACAGGCTTCCCTGGCCCGGCCCTCAGCAACCCCTCCCAAAGCTGGCCCCCAGGGCACCCCTGTATTCTCAGTGGCCTCATCCAGCTCCACAGAGCTCCCTCTGTGGTCCCCAAGCTCCCTCAGCCCAGCAGTGCCACTTCCTGGGCGGGTTTACCTCCCTGGCTCCCCCTGGAAAATGCCTCTTTTTCAAGCATTTCACCCGCGCCCCACCTCAGGAAGCCCTCCGACCACTCTCCCCACCGCTCATGCCCTGGGCTCCTTCTGAATCCGGATGTCGGCTGGACTTATCCCGCGCCCAGATTTCTCCTCCCATTACCCTGCTCCTAGCAGGTGCTGGGACCCTATAAAGGACATCGGAGAGCACCTGCAATGTGCTGTTGCTCCCACCAGGTGGCAGCACTCCACCGCTGATGATCTCTGCTACCCACGGGCTGCGCCCCCTGGGACCCCTGCTGCTCTCTCCCTGGGCCCTGGAGTCATAAAGGACAGGGAGGTGGGGAGGGCAGACGCACATGCTAAGGACCCCAACACTCAGCCTGTTTCTCCCAGAGCCGGGACAGCGGGAGGGGAAGGGGCCGGGCGGATGGCATGTCCTGGCACCGAGAAGGCTCACCTTGGCATGTCCGCTCGTCGGTCAGCAGCTTGTAGCCCTTGCGGCAGCCGCACTCGAAGCTGCCCACGGTGTTGCGGCAGGAGTGGTCGCAGCCCCCGTTGTTGGCCAGGCACTCGTTGATGTCTGTGGAGCCAAGCGCGGGGCGAGGAGAATGGGCTGCAAGGGGGGGTGACGGCCCAGCACCGCCCTTCCCGGACCTGCTGTGCCCACTGCCCAGGGCTGGCCTCAGTTTCTCCACTGAATGTAAGGATGGGGGTCCCAGCTCAGCAGTGGGTCAGGAGGATGGTTACACCACTTCCCCCTGGACGTGGCATCGGGTGCTGTCGGGCAAGACAACGGGAGGCCGAGGGCCCTGTGTCCTCTCACCACCTGAGAGGGCGGCTGCAGGGCAGTGAGGCCTGGGGGAGGCGGCTGCCTTCCCACGGCTGTGACCTTGACTCTCGGTCTGTGAGACCAGGATCAGAAGCACCTCGAGGGTAAGAGAGTGACAAGGGTCAGCGCCCAGTGGACTCGCAGTGCCCGCTGGTGGAGGCGCTGCAGGCAGCAGCGCAGCCTGTGGTCCTGGGCCTACGCTCAGTCTGCCTCCTCCTGCTTGGCCACCCCGACGCCGGCCTGTTGGTCTGAGCCGTTCTTCACTCAGCACTTGACGAGCGTGGCTGCACCCTGAAGGTCCCTGCCCGCCCCCGCCCCCACGCCTCACCGCCCAGCCCGTCCCGAGCGTCCCGCGGAGGAGGCTCCCGCTGGCACCTGCGGTGACGGCAGCCGTCTCCCTCCCACGCGGCCTGGGGGCTGCTCGGCCTGAGCTCCCTGCCCCGCCACTTTGCTAGGCTCTGGCCAGCTGCCAGGCGGTCAGGAGACCCTGCCCCTGCGGTGCTCCCTGTGGGCCGGCCGTCAGCCCCCAGGCGGTCACCCCTCCGGACAGGCCCCGGCAGGTAGTGAGAGAAGGAAGAGCTGACCGCCAGGACGGGCACACAGAAGCAGCACGGAAAGGACGCTCCGCCGGGGCCGCTGGCCCCTCTCAGCAGGGCTGCCACTCAGGTTGCAGCGCCCCCTGGGCCTGACCGGAGCCGAGGCCGCACGCCCCGTCCCGTGCCACAGGCACCTCCCTGGGAGCAAGGGCCCTCTGCGCCAGGTGCCCGAGTCCCCGGCAGGAGACTGGTCCCATCCTGCCCCGCGCCATGCTGCCCTCGCCACTGTGGCCTCCCCTGGGGACTATGGGCAGATGGGGATCTCTAACTGGAAGCTTCTCGCAGAGCGAAGGCCCGCCTCAGCCCTGCCCCAGCCGGCTGTGTGACCCGGGCAGGGAAAGGCACCTGCCCCGGCCTCGGCCTCCCAGTGTCGCTGGTGAGACGGGCCCTGCACGTGGGACTGGGACTGCCTCTGCAGGGGCGCCTCAGGCCTCTGCAGCCGCGGTGCCATCCCTCCCCATCTGGACCTGTTGGCTAAGGGCTGTCATAGCAACCAGACAGGCGGCAGGAGGCATGTTTGCTCAGGCCAGGCCGGTGCAGCAGGCTGCGGGGGTCACCACTTGGGAAGCAACCCCCAGCTGCAGCCGTGACACGTGGTGGGAGCCCTGGGCACAGATGGCTCCTCTACCTTCATTCTGACGCGGTGCATGGGGGGGGGGGCGGAAGGCAGCTCCTCTTCTCACTTCCTGCCCCTCTAGACTCCCCTCCTTCTCCACTGTGCTCCCCCCAGCCCTCGCCAGGTGGCCAGAGTCCCCTTCCTGTCCACGGGTCTTCTGTGGCCTCCCGCTGTCCCAGAGGAAAGGCCAGTCTATTGCAGGCCGGGCCCGGCCCCCTTGCCTGCTCTCTCTGCCCCCTGGCTCCTGTCTGGGCAGCCCCCACCCAGCCTGCCCCTGGGAACACTGCCCCCGGAAGCCTTCTCTGACCTTCTCTCAGCTGCTCCCTTGTCACTGGGCCTGCCCTCAGGGCTATGGAAGGGCCTCAAGCACAGGGGCCGGGGGGTGGGTATCAGGCCCGTCGGGAGCCCAGGGCCTGGCACAGGCTGGCACAGTGACGCCCAGGGGTGCTCACTGGATGGATGAGTGAGTGAGGAAATGAGGGAGTTAGGGGGCTGAGAGGAGGGCGGGGTCTCGAGCCATCTGCTGGAACATTCAAATGGTCAGTGTTCGAGGGTCAGCACTGTGTGTGTGGGGAGGACGCAGCCTGGCCACCCAGAGGCATGCAGGTGAGGGCTTTCGGGTGGGAGCAGAGGGAGGAGCTGGTGGAGTGGGCTGGGTGGAGGGGCAGAGGCAGGAGAGGGAGGAGAGGAACAGGTGGTGGGTGGGGTTCTCTGTTCTGGAAGGTGCTGGGACGGGTGGCTGGTGCCTGAGGAAACCCGGGCTCCAGCTCAAGAAGTGGAGGCCCCAGGCGCCCTCCTCTCAGAAGGACCCGCTAGCAGGACATTCTTCCCAAGGTCAAGTGGGTGCAGCCTTGAGACCGGACCTGGGTACTGCCTACTCTTTTGAAACAAAGTGAGGGCTTGGGGCAAAGCCTTTAGAACCCCCTTTTCCACCTGGCCTCCACCTGCCCTTGCGATCCCTCTGGATTTCCTGAGGCCTCTGCTACCTGACCTCCAGCCGTTTGCTTGACAACGACCTTTCTGGTTCCGGAAGACACGGCCCCTTTGAGGCCGGTCCTCTGGCACGCCCTCCGGGCCCGGCCAAGACCAGGATGTACACGCTGCCTGAGGAGCGGAGCCCCGGGACTCGTCTGTGAGCCGAGGCTCTACAGCACCAAACCCTGGGGTCTGGGGTCAGCGTTTGGTGTCCAGGGTCCCTGCCATGAAGACGGTAGGGTGTCCTCATCCCGCATTCCAGGCTGGTCCATGACCCCCAAGTCCTGATGCATCAGGCAGCGTCCGGACCACTCTCCACCTTCACGCCCCGGGCCCGAGCCAGTGTCCCTGGAGCCTGGGTGACGGCGGCAGCTGCCCAGAGACCAGCAACGGCCCGGGACCCTTCCCCAGGGAAAACCTGGCCTTGGCTGCCCCTGCCCTGTAGCTTTGGGGGCCTCACCAAGGGTCAAAGGATGAAGGGCCAACCCTTCCCCTGGCCCACAGGCCCTGCACCATCTGGCCTCCGGGCCCCTCCCCAGACCTGGGCACTGCCTGCCTCTGGGGCCTGGAAGCCCAGGCCCCGCGGCAGCCCCATGCCCTTGAAGGTGCTGCCCCGACTGCGCCTCTCCCTGGCCCTCCGCCTGCTCACACCCAGGTCCGGCCCCTCCGCCTGGCCTCCAGCTTCCGCCAAGCTGGACTTGTCGGTCCAGCCCCGAGCAGGTTGGTTCACACTGATCCCCGTGATTGTGAAACATGAACATCTGTCTTCTGCACTCGACAGAAGACCTCAGGAACAGACTGCTTCATTCCCTGTCCCCCAGCTCCTGCCCGCAGGAGGGGCCCAGAAAACCCGTCTGGGACTGAGGGAGCCGGCACTTCCTGCCTCCGGGCGGTGGGGCTGAGCAGGGGCCGCGTGCCTCCAAGCTCAGGGTCCTCAGACCCCCGGCTCCTCCTGCTCCAGCCGCAGACAGATCCTTTGCACCCTCAGCTGAGACACCCCCCTCCCCCCCCCCCGGCCCAACTTCACTCCTCCAGTGACAAGGACACAGAGTCCTTACTTTTTAACAGGGACTAGCAGACAATCCCATCCCGGGACGAGCAGACCCTGCTTCCCGTGTCGCCCTGCACCACGCGGTCACAGCTGTGGGGGCGAGGAAACGCGCCAGCCCGACCCCTTGGGGAACCACACGAATCACGAGGCCAGGAAGGCACTTGTCACCCAACGTGCAGCCCAGTTCTGCTAGGAGAACCCTGTTTTTGTGCCCCGGAACCTGGAGGTGAGCCTCCCTCTGCTCAGCCCCTCCCCAGACATGCAGACGACAGCTCAGCCTCCTGGCCCATGCCCACCCCACCGGCTGGCATCGCAGGCCCTGCTCCGCCTGCCCTGCAGTGGCCAAGGAGCGGAGGCGGGCACTGCTCACGGCTCCGGGCTGACCTTTGCACGTTTTCCCGTCGGGCTGCAGGGTGAATCCCACGGGGCAGCTGCACCGCACGCCTGTGGCCGTGTCCTTGCACGTCCGGTCACAGCCTCCATTGTTGACGGCACATGTCTCTGCGGAGGGAAAGAGACAGAGCTGCTTCGTCTCCTCGGACAGAAGCCACCTCCTCTCCCCACCCAGGGGAGTCTCCTGAGACAGGAGACCTGAGTTCCAGTCCGGCTCTGAGACCCTCCAGCTGTGGGGCTTCACTGAGCCTCACGTTACCCATCTGTAAAATGGGAGAATGGCATCCTTTCCGGGGGTTGCTGGTGAACACTCATCACGATGATGGTGGACGGGGCGATGTTTGCAAACTGCAGGGAGTGGACTTGGGTAAAGGTATTGCCAACAGGGTCCCCCTACTCCTGCGGGCCAGTGCCGATGGGCCTGGCTGGTAGTTAACACCCGGCCAGGTTCCTAAAGCCTGGCCCTGCCTGGCTCTGGCGCCGAGCCCCGGCTGCCGCTCGCTGGGGCTCCCACACGCACCCAGCACGCTGGCTTGTGGCCCTGAGCCTGGGGAGGTTTGCAGAGCGCGCACCATCCATCACCGCAATGAGGCTGGGCCCAACATCTGTTCTCACTGAACGAGACGCCACAGGCATCTGGTTTTTGTCCACTTGAAGCTTGCCTAGGGCTTTTTCCCTCTTTTGCAAATTCAAAGGAGCTGGAGTGGCTGTGCACAACTGAGGCCACAGGACCTGTCGTGCGGTGAGAGTGATCCTCCCCAGGCCCGCAGGAGGGGCCGGTGGAGCCAGGTCGCCGGGGCGCAGGTGGCCCGCACACGGGGAGCCTGGCTCCCGGGCCTCGGAGCCTTCCCATCTGGGTTTCTTCCGAGCATCTGGCAGCTTTGATCTTGTGGGAGCGGTGCCCGCCCGGGCTTCCCTCTCTTCTTGGCTGCTGGGAAGCGAAGGGCCATGGACTCCTCACTATTTTATGACCGCGATGCCCTGCCTGCCTGCCTCAACTTCCCCTGGGCACCTGGCCCGAGGCCTTTCCCGAGGCCCCCAGTTCATTCTGTCTGTCCATCTGTCTGTGGTACCTGACTCCTGCAGCTGCCTTTGGGCCTCTGCAAGGAGTCTGGGATGAGTGTGGGAGTGGTGACTAAGTGAATGTGTACCCCAGTTCCTCGGAGTCCTGACACTACTTAGACCAAGTTCCCGGTGCCTTCCCTTTGAACTTCAACTTGTGACGAGGGCTGTGCAGGAAGAGGAGGAAGCCGACTTTGCCTCCAGTGCGTGGGGGTGTGCGTCTGGGCTCTGCAGGGTAGTCTTTGCCTCCTATGTGCGTGGGGGTGTGCGTCTGGGCTCTGCGGGGTGGCCTCTGCCTCCTGTGAGTGTGTGGGGTGTGCGTCGGGCTCTGCGGGGTGGCCTCTGCCTCCTGTGAGTGTGTGGGGTGTGCGTCGGGCTCTGCGGGGTGGCCTCTGCCTCCTGTGTGCGTGGGGTGTGCGTCGGGCTCTGCGGGGTGGCCTCTGCCTCCTGTGTGCGTGGGGGTGTGCGTCTGGGCTCTGCGGGGTAACCGTGGGGGCTGCAAGAGCAGAGGCCACCACGCTGTCTTTTCAAGGCCCAAGTCCACCATGACGGGACGCGCTGTCCCTCCTGCAGAAGGCGAGCGTCCTGGCCCTGGCCTGCCTTTCAGTGTCTCCACAACCCTGAACCCTCAGCAGGGTATGGCCAGCTCAGGGAGCTCGCTGCTCTGTGCACTGGCCCAGGGTTTGGGAGGCCTCCTGCCTGCTGGGGTTTTAGGGTGCAGCTCAAAGACCAGACGGTTGCTGCCTTTCCCGGACTCACACAGGCTGGTCTCTGGTGAGCACAGGCCAAGTTCTGACTGGCACATGACCCACCCCTGTCCTGTCTCCCCACCAGACCACCTACTGGGGCGCTGCCCTGGCTCTGTCACTCACTGACTGGCCAGGGAGGTCATCCCTCGGGGCTGGACCTCAGCACCCACACCTGACGGATGAGGAAAAACAAACCCCCAACTTAGCCCGCCCGGCCCAGGTCCTGGCCCGTAGTAGTTGCTCAACAAATGCTAGTTTCCTCGCCTGGGGTTACAACCAGAGGGCAATCTCACCTCCCATTCCCACCCCCAGATCACAGAGCCCTCGCTCACCCACTGCCCGTGCAGCCTTTCACGTGGAGACCCTCTCTGGAGGGGACAGAGCCCGTCCTGTCCAGGTGCAGGGGACTAAGGCTCAGGCCTGGAGGGTTGCAGCAGGAGCTGGGAGCTGGGGCTGGGGCACAGCTGGTGGCCTTACCCAGTGATAGCAGGATGAGCACCAGGCCCCTCCATGGTGGTGGAGGGGGTGTGACACGGGCATGGGGCGTGGACCATGTGATCCTGAGATAGGGACCTGGCAAGACAGGCTCCAAGGGCCTTGCAGGCCCTCCCTGTCTCTGGAGGTTCCAGCAGGACACGGAATCTTGGCCCTCCAGAGCGGAAGGGGCTTCCAGAACCTGCTGGCCTCCTGCCCACTGGATGGATTGAGGCCAAGAGGGAGTGAGGTCAAGTCTGAGTGGCCACCCACTCTCTGGACCCCCATGCAGGCCTCTCCCTTGCCCTGTGCACACCTTTAGTCTCCCAAGTTGCCCCATGGTTGGTGCCTAAACTTCAGGTTTTAAGCCAGGGGCTCGGGGCCCTGTGGGCTATTCTTGGGTGCTGACCACCCCTTCCCACAGCTCCTCGTTATGCTGGGTCACTTACACCAGGCCCGTCTCAGCCTTCCAGGCCTTCGCCCCCCACGCTCAGGCAGCTCTGCGAGGGGCTGCTCGCCCTCTCCTCCCTGGAGGTCTCCCCCCTGACCACCGCTCTCTAGGCAGAGCGCCCCCTGCCTCCCCGGCAGGGACGGTGCAGAGCACCAGGGCTGTGTGGCCAGGAAGTGGCAGAGCAGGTGGGACCTGCTGGACTAACTCCAGCCCACCTGACAGCCTCAGCCTCCACTGGCCCCAGCCCCAGAGCCCCAATCGCCCAAGAATGCACTGGCCTCCATCCTGCCGCAGGGCTCCCTGCGTCATCAAGGCCACCTCTGTCCCCAGGCCACATCCGAGAGGCCCCCTGCCACTTCCTCGACATTGGATCCCAGCACCTGCTCTTACTGCTCCCTCCTGGGCCCGGCCACCAGTGCCCTCCTCGGTGGCCTTCCCGGCCTCCCAGCGGTCCCTCCTCCTCCAGCCCCCTGTGCCCTGGCCAGTCCCTGCCTCCGGAGTCTGAGTCTCCTGAGGACGTGGAGATGGTAAGACAGGGTGGGCAAGTCGGCTCAGTGTGCGTGTGAAGGTTGACTCGTGTTGTTACTAATTACTGTGCTGTTTTCCACACGAACGACTGTGAGCCGACCTTTGCCCCCTGTATTCACCGCAGGCTTCGTGCGAGGCCCGGACAGAAGGTGGCCGTGGCAGCGCTGTGTGAGCTGTCAGCTGTGACTGCGCCCGCTGTGGTGCCATTTCCTAGAACCAGTGCCTGCGGAGTCTTAGCCACAGTTTCCGGGCCCCTGCTCGGGGCGGGGAGCCAGGCCTAACAGTCCCTGGGCTCATGAGGCCCCAGCCCCATGGGCAGCCGGTGGGTTCACTCCTCTGTCCAACCGACAGACTGGGAACGACTCGCTGGTGCTGGGCAGAGAGGAGCTGGAGATGAGCCTGACACTGACCCGCCTTGGAGGTTAAGGCATTTCAGGGAGACAGAACAGGACTGGGACCCACTCCCCCTGGACCCATCCCACACGCAGACCCATCCACCATGAGTTCCTCTCCCAGGCCCCAGCCCCGCAGTGGTCTCCCCGCTGACCACCGCTCTCAGGCAGAGCCACACGGGGGGACCCCGGCATCAGCACCACAGGGGCTGACGTCTGCCGAGTGACGGGTGAAACAAGACTCCAGAAGCCCTGCCGGGAGGAACAGGGGAGCGAGGTGACGGGCCTGCACTGTCAGGCGGGAGGCGGATGCCTGAGACAACGCCCACAGCACAGGGGCCTGGGAGCCTGCCAGACACAGCCAGAGTCACGGGCACTGCAAGGCCAGGAAGGCTGAGGGCTGGACAGAGGGCACACGGGCTTCCCTGGGCACCCGCGCCAGCGCTGCATGCTCACCAGGATGCACCCCTAGGGCAGGGTGTGGGGTGCACCTGCCCAGGAGCCTGTGTGTGGAGCTGGGTCTGAGGGGACATGCTGGTGGCTGTTGCGATGGTGACCGTGGGGGGTGGGGGATGGGAGAAGGCAGGGCGGTTGTGGAGGCCAGGACTGCAGCCCTGATGAGGGAGGGGGCTCCCAAGTCGGGGTCTGAGGGGAGTAGAAAGGGGCCCCAGGAGGCCCCCCCTGGCGCCCAGCACCGCTCTCTGAGGCAGCAGATCCTTGGCCCCACAATCTCCGGGGCCAGGCCAGCCTGGGTCCTTACTCTGCCTTTTTTTGGGGAGACAAGTGTGTTCTTTATTTTTGTATAAATAATTTATCATTCAATGTACTTCACAGTATTTTCCATTTCTTTTTCTTCCATAAGTTTCCTTTGAGATGACAAACATACTGCTAGGGGTAATACTGTGCATGCATCATCAGGCTGCCTTTTTAGCCAGGCAACTGCGAGGTGCCTCGGGCCCTTTGCTGGCCTGGCCCGCTGGGTGGGTAGCAGGCCTGTGGCCCTCCCAGGGCAGTGTGCTGTGGGGTTGGTTTCTGGCAGGGGAGCTGTGGGAGCCCCAGTGGGGTTACGATGTCAGGGGCAGTGACCTCTGGTGGGCCTACCTGGTGGGGGGCGGTTGAGCAGAGGGCAGTGCCGGGGGCGGAAGGCGGCTGGCGGAGCCAGCACAGCCCTCAGCGAGGTTTCTCCCTGTGGTCTGAGGGGTCTTGAACAGCCTACGCATCCCCCGCCCCGCCCCGGACAATTGAGGTTTGTAGTAAAGCGGGAACAGGACCAGCAGCAAGCCCTTTCCCTGACCCCTGACCCCTGCCTCCACTCTGCCCACTAAGTGCAGGGGTGCTGAGGGCAGACATGGGGTTCCCATGCTGACAATCCTTGGGAGGGAGGGGCGGGGGCCCAGCTCGGGCAGCCCGTGAGGAGAGGCGACCAAGGAAGGTCGCTCTCTGAGCCTCGTGTCCACGTCAGCCACACGGACGGTGCCCTCGCAGTGCGGGAACACGGCCACGTGAGCACACGCCTATCTGTGCCGCGCACACGGCTGGCTGCCCAGCCAGGTCTCACCCAGGCTGCTGCAGAGTAGACGCTACAGACCCTTTTGCAAACAGAAGACTGAGGCTCAGAGATGTGAGGTGACTGATGTCCCTGTCCCCACTTCTTTTCTCTAACACACTCTGCCTGGCACACTGCCTCCACCCCTCTCTACACAGCTGTCACCACAACCCAGCCCGTAGTGTGCATGCACGTGCGTGTGTGCGTGCGTGCATGTGTGTGCATGCATGCGTGTGTGTGCATGCATGTGCGTGCGTGCGTGCATGTGTGTGCGTGCGTGCATGTGTGTGTGTGACTAAACTAAGGGCAGGAACTCGGGCCTCCGCGGGGGCCTCAGCTGACTAGCGATCAGCAACAGGGGTGAAGTCTGACCATGGGCTCTTCCTGAACGAGAGCCCAGAGCCCGGAGCTCAGGCCTGTGGGCAGGGAGGCCGCAGCTGGAGGACAGGGTGCCTGCCCAGGCCCCAGAGTCCACGCCCCTTCCCCTCTGACCAGGCCTCCTGCTGAGTGCCTGGCCCAGGCAGTTGTCCTGTGTCACCATCTCCCTAGCTCTGCTCTGCCTGACCCCTCCCACTGCCAGGCCTATCCAGGCTCTGGGTCCCACCTGTCTCCCAGCCGGACACCTGCCTGTGTTAAAGGTCAGCAGTGAGGCCCTGCTCTCCCCTGGCACCTTCTCTAGGAAGCCTGTCAATGCCCCTCTGTGCTGTGCCCAGAGGGGACATCAGAGCTGGCACAGGCTTGGCCTCTGCCCCATGCCAGGGAAGGGGTCCGGGCTTGTGACAAACAGGGTGCTGGTGGAGGAGGGGCAAGCAGTGGGGCTGGGCGAAGGTCCGTTTAGGTCAGGATGAGCCTTTGCTAGGCAGAATCGTCCAAGATGGCGCCTGGGTAGAGTGGGGGATGGCATGACCCCCTGAGGCAGGAAGCGTGGGCAGGCTGGTGTGCAGGGCCTGAAGGACACCCTCCTGGAGGGTGGCTCCCAGGAGGTGACTGAATGTGTGTGGGGGAGGTGGCCTGGGACATGGTTGGTGAAATCAGGGGAGATCCAGGGATCCTGGAGACGTGGCTGCAGGAAATGATAACAGTGGGGGTGGAGGAGCCAGGAGCCGGGAGCAGCACGAGTGTGAATGTGTCAAGAGAAGTGGCCTCGCCTGGACCTCTGGGGGCTCCTCCCGCCCAAGGGGGAGCCATGTCCCGACCCCCTGTGCGCGCTGGCGAAAGGGCCTCAGGAGACTGACTTCAACGAGAACCCTGGGGAGGGAGATCCCTGTGGATGCTCTGGGTGGGCCAGGAGGTCACACGGTCCTTACAAGTGGGAGGGGGCTGGAGAAGGCGTGGGGTGGAAGCAGGTGGAACAGACGCCGCGCTGCGTGCTCGGAGGATGGGGGGGCTGCAGCCAAGGAAAGCTGCTGGTGACCCCGGGACACGTGCCCACTCTGGCAGAGCCTTGCACAGTGACCACACGGCACTGCTCACCTGAGCCCACAGGGGCGTCCTGGCCCTGCTTCTCGCCACAGCTGCTCACCTCTGTCCTCCCAGGAGGAGCTGGCCAGTGGCGGCTCGGGCCTGACCTTGCCGTGAACTCCTATCTCACCTTCCTCATCTGCTCCTGGGCCTCAGAGCACGTTCTTCCCCATCCCCGCCCAGGATCCAAAACAGGGCTCCGGGGCCCACCAGTGGGAGCAGCCCCTGGGCCGTGGCGCTGATTCCCCCCGAGTCTCAGCTGCTCTCCCCACGCCGGGCGGGCTCTCAGCGTGTGCTCTGAGCAGCACCGGGCAGAACGGGGACGGTCACCTCCCTCATTCTCCATCCCTTGCCTCTATTCCTACAGCCTCGGGAGCCCGGTCTCACTGGGGACCACTAGCGAAGGCTTCAAGTCCGAAGCTCCTAAGCCTGTGTCACATGGGCGCTCTCAGAGGAGACAGCGCGAACAATTAGGATTAGGAGCTCCGGGGGGTCTCAGCGGCTCGAGGTGCCTCCGGGCCTCTAAGGGTCGCTGCCTAAGGCTTGGGGCCGGGGCTGTCGGCCTCAGCCCTGGGGTCAGTGCTGCAGGAAGACCAGAGGAGGGAGGGCTCCGCCGGAGGACAGGAGAGGCTCTAAGGGATGGGAGGGGTTCTACAGCAAAGAGGTGGGAATGTGGGGGGCCAGTCAGCACCCATTCCCTTCGCCCCCGCTGACACCTGCTTCCCAAACCAGGGTGAGGGTGGCTGGCGGCGCCCTAGGTGCCCCCTTCCTCATCTCCAGGACGGCTCTGGGCCACAACCCACCAGCGCTAACCAGCAAGAGCACAGGCCTTCTCGCCACTGCCCGCCCGCCGCCCCCCGGGATGCCCACTTACTCCGCCCTCTGCTGCCCCCCTCGCGCTGGTCCCTGCCCCGGTCTCTGGCCTCCACAGCTGTGCCTGCCTCTCTCCAGGAGGCTGAGGGGCCTGGGCCCTCTCGGACCTCAGAGCACTGGCAACTCTTAGGTTCACACCGATCCTGTCTAGACACCTTTCCAGAAAGTCCCCGGTGCTGACTCCCACCTTCCTGGAGGGCACTGGGCCTGACTGCTTAGGGGCCTCTTAGCCCTTCCCAGGCCAGCCCAGGTGGCCCAAGTCGACAAGCCAGCCCCGTCCAGAGAGCTTCCGCCTGAGCTCAGCTACCTGCCTGTGTGACCGGAGGGGAATCCCGGGCCTTCCGGCCTCAGTGTTCCCGTCTGAGAAACAGGGCTTCCTGCCAGAGCTTCAGGGTCCGCAGAGCACCCATAGCCAGCCCATGCCCTCCTCTGCCCCTCAGAGCCCCACTCCCAGCACACGGGCGCCTCCCTCCCGGGGCCCCACTCAGACCGCCCTCCTCCTCAGGCACCGGGGCCCCTGGAGGTCCCCAGGAGGACGAGAGACTGGGTGACCTCTCCAGGCCATGCAGGCCCTGACCCCCATGGTCCCGTGACAGTTAAGATGACCCACACTGCCAGCGCTCTGGGCTCAGCTCAGGGTAGTGTGACCTTGGACGGCCAGGGCACCCAGTGAGCCTGTTTCCTCACCTGAGACATGGAAACGCACTGCCTGGCCCTGCCTGGCCCCACAGCTCCCAAGGCTGGGGTGACCTATCAGTGCCATAGGGAAGGCTGTGGCCGTCCTAGGACACCCTAGCTGTGCTCCCAGGGCCCAGGCAGCTGGCGCCCCCCAGGCCAGAACTGTGGAACCGCCTGAGCTTTCTGTGTGGGCGGGGCTCAGTGGGGGGCAATCACCTTCTCCTCCTCCCTTCCCTCCCCCTCCCCACCCTCCTCCGGGCAGGGGCAGTGCTAGAGTGAAGCTGACATTGTGTGGACCCCCCAAGGCAAGCAGGCGCCCAAGAGGTCCTGTGGAGGAGGGGCCAAGGCTGGCAGCCCAGCGGGTGGGGCTACTCACGGGGCTTGGGTCAGGCGGGGCTGAGTGAGGCCTGTAGATGACCTCACCCAGTCCTCCCCTCTCCGGTAGCAAATTTCCCAACTATACAGCGAGCAGGGTGGACGGGATGCCCTGAACAGAGATGTGGCTCTTTTCCTAATGTGGCTTTTCTCCAAGGGAGGGGACGGGGAGGACCGCCGGGCCGCCCGCAGGCCTGTCCTACACAAACGCCCCCTTTACGCCTGCGCCTGTGCGCCGTGCTGGTCCCGGGACCCTGACTGCCAACCTGCATTTACTGCATGCGGAGGGGTTTACAGCACACGACTCCTCACACGCAGAGGCCACCTGACATGGGCTCTGGGGTCTCTGCTACAAACACACAAAGAGATACACGTGTTTGATGAAGGGCAAAAACTTTAAAAAGGAAAAAGTGAGTTCACATCTGGAGTGGAGCCCCCCACACTCACACATGGCTCGCGTGACCCCACACATGTGGGCACACCACACAGACGGACAGCCCCCACACACACACCCCATAGGCCTGCACACACACTCACAGCCCAACACGCCAGCACCACGCAGACCCCCGCACGCCGGCACATACCACACACGTGCATACGTGCAAAGGTGCAAGGACAACAAAGGAAGTGGAAGAAAAGTGTTACCCATGAGGAGCCGCCGTTTCACCCGCTTGTCCACATCAGCTACTGACGTGGCATTGAACTGAGAGCGCTCAATTGCAGCCTCATCCTTCTCTAAAACACAAGTAAGGGACAAACATGGAGCCACTGGTTAGTGACAGCCCACTTCCCGCGCCCAACAGTCAGCCTTCCGCGTGGCACACACAGCCAACACATGCGGGCCAGCACGGGTCCTCGCCAAGGGGCTAACCCAGGCACCTCCAGGGTGGGTGTTCAGGGCAGAGTGAAGAGGCAGCAGGGCAGGGCGGGGGTGTGTGTGACCACAAAGGGACGCAGGTGGGACACAGGGCCCACGTGCACACAGAGACAGCAGCTGAGGTCAGAGCACACAGGACGCATCTGCGGGGGCCACAGAAGCAGACGGCACCCCCGCAGAGCCCACGCAGACAGCAGTTAGACAGCCTGGCTTGGGCTGGAGGGCAGGCGCAGGGCGAGCACAGGACAAGGGGACAGGGCGGCAAGGTCCGGTGATGGCTGTGCCTGGGCAGCAGATACCCTATCTCCAGGGCGTGAGAGAGTGCCAAACACTCATGCAAAACTAAGAACAAAACATACAGAAGCGCGCACACACACACACACACACACACACACAGCAATGGATCCAATCGAACACACAGAAACCAGGGATCGATCGGTTGGGGCAGCGCTGGTTGCCTGCTTGTCTATAGAGGACTAGAGTGACATGCTCAGGTGCTCAGCAAGGGGCTGTGAAGATGGGCAGTCATGTCAGGAGCGTGAAGAGCCCGCGAGGCGCTGGCAGGAGCTCTGCCAGGAGCGCCCGTGGAGAGGCACGAGGTGAGCTGGTCCCATTTCTCTGCTCAGTGGGAGGTGGGCAGACCCCTTCGCTTGCTCCTGGGGAACCTCAGGGGCAGGGAGCAGCAGGGAGCACGGCCAGGAGCAGGGTCTGGGCACGGGCTTCTAAGGGGAGGGGAGGGAGAGCGGGGCCGGGGAAGTTACGTCAGAAAGGGCCCAAGCAGGGGCTGTCGCATGCAGCAGACACTACAAGATAAAAATGAGGAAGGATGAGTCGGGCGGACAAAGACAAGATGTGTTAGATGAGGCTGGGTGGGTGTCTGGCCGGCAGAGGCAAACACTGAGGGAGACCCCGGCAGACGAGACAGGGAGGGGCGGGGGACGGCAGAGACAGGGCGAGAGGAGGTCTAGATGGGATCAGGCTGCAATGGAGACACTGGTCTGAGACCGGGTTTTGCTTTGAATTTTGTTTGGTTTGGCTCTGAAAATAATTAATGAACGTCAGTTATCAGACAAGACAGGCAATCAGGGACCATCACCAGAAAAGCAGGAGGAATGAGATAAAATGAAACCAAAAACGGCTGTTGGAGAGGAGGGACCACACAGAGGAAGGGAGAACCGCACGGTAGCAGCACCTGGGACGACAGCCAGGGACTAGGATGGGACTCTGCCCCCCCCCCCCCCCCAACTCTCAGATACCAGGGATCAGAGTCACAGGGGACAGCAACCTCTGGGCGCATGGCTTTGCCTGCTTGCCACCCCCTATTTTTGTTACTTGCAAGTCCCTTAAGAAATACCTTCCCAGTCAGATAATACGAAATGGGGCGTTTTTAAAAAACAAAAATATAACCATGGTAACTGACTTGTGGGCTTCTAAAGCTCGCCATCACTGAAGAGAAAGAGAACAAAGGTGGATGACATCAACCCTGACATTCCTTCTTCTCAGTTAAGAGTTCCTCTCGTTTTTGAGCGGGGCTGGAACTCCTAGAGGTTAGGGACCAGGTGCTCCCAGGACTCCAGCTCCCTGGGAGCTAAGGGCCAGGAGGGGGTGACCCAGCCTCCCATGGAGACTCCCTGCAGCCGGGAGGTGACGGGAGCGGCATCGCGGAGAAGGGCCTCTATAGGTGGGCGAGGGAGCTGGGCCAGAGCTCCCATGAGTTGGGGAAGGGGCAGCAGTAGAAACACCAGCGGCGCCCTGGCCAAGGGGAGCTCTGAATGAAGACGCAGCTCTGAGACGGGGCTGTGAGGAGGCTGCTGAGCCTGCGTGTCTCCACAGGAGGGAGGGAGGGAAGCCTGTGCTCAGACCGGAGCTGCCACCCTGGGCACACACCTTCCTCCCCGCAGACCACCTCCTGGGGCCGCTCCCCGAGGAGGAGGACACGCAGAGCGCCCAGTGTGACCCCCAGCAGAGGCGCCTGGTCCTGGGGCTGAGCGCCCTGGGCGCCTCCGCAGGCGGCTTTTCCTCAGCTCCGTGGGGCACACTTTTCCTGGCTTCCCTTAAGCTTCCTTTCTTGGAAATGGGGACAAGGGGGTGCTGGCTGACATCAGGGCCGCACGGCGCCTTCCATGGGGGGCAGGGGGTGCAGGGTTGCCAGCGCGGCAAAGGCGCCTACTTACCGATGCACGTCCGACCATCCGAGTGGAGGGCATACTTCTGGTGGCAGCCACACATGGGGCCTGTGTCTGTGTCCTCACAGCTGTGCTGGCAGCCTCCGTTTCCATAGTTACAGGTCACTAGTTAGGCCCAGAGTGTAGAGACGTAAGTATAAACAGAACGACAAGAACGGTTAGTTTCTCGGTGTTGGTGGTTCCTTTTTTGGGGGGGGGGGGGGGGGGAGAGGGCATGAGACCTCTCCTGACCTCAGCCCTCGAGGTCGTGGGTGGAACTGATCATTCCCCAGAGGTCACTGGGTGGGACGTGGGTGACCGGGACATTGGGCAGAGGGGCACACAGCCAATGCACTCCGACAGTGTGAGGTCAAGAAGGGAGAAGCTAGACAACTTGATCCTGGGCCACCAGACACTCGAGCCTGACTCGATGGGGCACATGTCTGTAACCCAGGCACAGTCTGAAGTGGGGGGGGGGGGTGCACACGGGGAGAGGGGACACTCATCCCTTGATTCCTGACAGCTTTCTTTCCTCGGCTTATGCTCTGGGTGTGGAGGGTGTCCCCTGGGTGCCTATTCTCTCCCAGTCCCAGCAGCATCTCAAATCCCACCCCCTCACAGCCCCAATGCCCCCAGGCCATGTCCAAATGGCCAGTTAGTGTCCCTCGGTGCATTTTGAAATGACCTTGACTTGAACATGTTACACAGTCTGCAATGCCCAGGGCCTGGAGGGGCTGGTATTTTCCAGCCAGAATCTTAGAATGTTCCAGCGACCTGGGGCGGCTGAAAAGGGGCCGAACAGAAAGGAGCCAGTCTGTAGGAAAGATGACAAACGCAGGTTTATTTACAGGGAACGTGCTGCTGTCCCTTTCCGGGCGGGAAGGGCTGCCACCCTGCTTTCCTCTGCAGCCAGGCCGCAGGTGCCTGTCGCCACCACGCCAGGCCCCGAGGACAGCGCATCTTCTTGGATCCTTAGCCACTTGTCCAGAATTTTATCTACACTTTTAATGCCCTTGGCAAAACCCTAATGAAGATCAAATATGCCAAAGTTAATCTCAGACCAACCACGGTCAGAGGGGCTAAACATTCCGAATTGGCAGTCTGAATAAATGACCTCCGTCGGGTGACCCGTGAGCAGCGCTGGTTTAGGGGGGTCGTGAGGTGGCGAGGCCCCGGTGAAGGAGCCGAGTTCTGCAGCCCGGTTTCAGGCCGGCCCTTTCCCCGCGAGTGCACGGAGCCTCCGCAGGCACCCGTCCCGAGTGATGGCACCTGTCAGTGTCCCAGAGGCTGTTGTAGAGACCAGAGGTCCCAGCAGGCCAGGCCGCCTCTTCTGCAGGGAGCTGAGGTCCAGCTGAAGGAGGCACCCACTTCCTGGGTGACCCTTCAGACCCGCAGAGCTGCTTCGGCTCAGCTGGGGTTCGAGCACAGTCCGCAGGCCCCTTCTCCACAGGAGCCTGGCGGTGCGGAGTCAGCCTCTCCCATCCCTGAAACAGCTCATCTCCGGCCCAGGGTTCCAGCGGTGGTGGCTTAGCGTGGATCCCAGGGGAGGGAGATCCTGTGGAGCCTGGCCTTGGGCGAGAACCTCATGCCTTTTCAGACTGAAAAAGGCCCGTTGCAGAGTGGGCGGCGGAGCCGGGAGTGGGCACTCAGCCACTGCGGTTCGTTCTTCCCCAGCTCTGGGTGCCAGGACGTGAGCTACGCCCTGGAAGTGAGGACACGGCCTGAGGCCACTCAAGGGAGGGCCACACTCAGGGCCCCTCGCTCCTTCCACAGAGGACCCCAGGCCGAGCTTGTGAGCACCTGGAGAGCCTACAGCTTACACGGAAGTCAGCACCCGAGCCTGGAGCTCTGGGAAGACCGAGAAGAACGGGGAACCCTCCCTTGGCCCCGGAGTGGGTCCTGCCTCTGGAGGAGTGCAGGGCCCCTGTGGTCCTGCTGGTCCGTGGAGGCTGGGCCAGGCCTCACCTCCCAACCCGATTCCAGAGCTAGAATTTCCTGGACCTCGAGTGACCTCAAGGTCATCGCTAACTTGACTCTAACCTGCCATCGGAGCCACACGGAAGAGTCCAGAGCTGCCTGGGTGGACAGCCATCTGAGCAGGGAGCGAGGACTGATGTTTCTTCTCCTGCAAATGCTCTGGGCAAGGGCTCGGCTCTTCTCTGCTGGGCGAGGCCGAGAGTCCTAGCCGCACCCAGGGCCCTGCTTTCCCTGACACTGACCAGGCCGGCCATCAGGAGCTGCTCTCTGAGTAAGGTGTCCCCTTGCAGCACTTGTCCAGATGGAATTTCAGAGCGAGGCGGCGCGGTCAGCCCGGCCATCTCCGCGGCTGGCAGCTCTCCCTCCGGCAGCTGGCTCAGGGCTTGGCCAGAGCGGGCGTCTCTCACGCAGGAAGGTGCTTCCCTCCGGCCCAGCCTGCCAGCAAGCTGCCGGCTCCACGTGTGCCGCCCGGGCCTCGGTCCTGCGGAAGCCGGGTCACCGGCAGGAGGACCGAACGGCTAGAGTTATTCAGCTTTGGGTCTGAGGTGGCCAGGCGGCAGCAGGTTGCTCTGCAGTTAAAGGAACGTCTCTGGTGTAGGGACAGGAGGCCTGGCCAGAGGCCTGGGCTGGAGCGGGCACATGGCCAAGTGCCTGCCCTTGGCGACCACAGTGTTTATCTCGGACCCCACAGGAGAGACTGGGGAAGAGGAGGCTCGTCCACTCCTCGGACCACACCGTGGCAGAAGGAAGCGTCTTCACCTTGAGGAATGGCTGAACCATGAGTGGGGGCTGGAGGGCGAGCCCTTGGAGACAGGGACTGTGCCTAATGCACACCGGTCCCCAGACCTTGGTCACTGCTGCAGGAGAGCATGAGCTGGGAGAGGTGTGGCTGGCACCCGAGGGAGACTGGATGACCCTGAGAGAATCAGTGACGGAGGATGGTGACCACAAGGGCCGCTGTCCTCTCCGCAGATGAAGGTGGAAAGCGAGGCCATTTCCTTATGAGCTGGTTGGCCTCAGGCCCCCACTGCCATGGCCAAGATGGGCCACTTCCCTATGGGGAGTTGGATTTGGGCTCCTCCATACCACGTCCTGCATCAGGAAGGGGCCTGGTGTGGAGCACCGGCCTGTGCCAGAACTGGGCATGCTCCACCAGCGCGCCCCCGCCCCCCCCGCCCCCGCAGACCCGGGCAAACATTACAGCAGTCTGGGCGTCAGCTGCCCAGTGAGCAGAGGCCTCCTCCCACCGCCCCACGCAGCTGATGGGGGCTGCGCTGGGACAGGCTTTGAGGACTAGCTGGGTGTGTTGGGCGCTGTCCTACTTCAGTGCTGGCTCCCACTCCTCCTGGGGAGCTGGGGGGCCCCATTAAAGGTTGCATTTCACTCGAGCCCCGCAGGCTGACCTCGGAGCTGTACTGAAATGGCCCCTTTGCCAGAGGCCTCACTCACAGGCCTCCCAGCGTGGCACCATTTACATGGGCCTTGCAGGGGGGACTGTGAGTTCTGATCTTAGCTCCTGGAACAAGGCTGCAGCCTGGGCTGGGACCCTGCAGAACCAAGCTCCTCTCCTGCTCTCTATCATCCCGCCACTGAGGGCTGCCCGCCAGAACCCAGGCTTGTAGACCCCTGTGCCTTGCCTTCCATTCCCGCTGAAGATGAGAGCTCAGGGTGGTGGGTCTCTGGGGTCAAGGGGAGAGGAGGGGGGTATAGGAGACACTGACAGGGCCACCGTGCAGGGCCCTATGGAACACCCGGCCCAGCTCAGGCTGTGTGGGTGGTGTTATGCCAGGTGGGAAAACATGGCCCCGTCCCTCATGCCCCCAGACCACTTCAGGGGCCCTGCCTTCTCCTCCCCCAGCGGCTGAGAGCCCTCCCTGGGTCAAGTCCAGTGGACTGGACAGACCCCCCCCCCCCACACACACACACATAAAGCAACGACAGGAGACGAGTGGGGATGTCAGACCCAATTGCCTCCATCTACCTACGTGTGCAGTCCTTCTGGTTTTGGGCAAGGTCAAAGCCGGGCCTGCAGTCGCAGGCCACCCCACCTTTGGGTGTCTCCCGGCAGATGTGGGCACAGCCATGGTCTTTGTTCATGCAGTTCATACCCTCTGGGAAGAGACAGACAAGAGAGGGGTTGGGGATCAGGGGAGAAAGAAAATTTCAGGCTGGAAAGAGACAGCCCATGAAACATCATGGTCACATGGAGCGTACGGAGCCACCCAGAGAGAGGGCCTCTGGGGACAAACCAAGGACACGGTGCCCGGGTCTGGAGCCAAGCCTCGCCCCGAGAGCCGCACCGTAACTGGTCTCTGAAATGGCTTTCAGGTCAGGGCTTTAGACATGTCCCCACTAAAGCGGGCGTAGGTGGCATTAAGCCAGTGTGTGCGGCACTTTTCAGTTGCACAGAAATGCCATCTGCTCCTCTGAGGCAGGCAGAGCCCAGCTCACCTGGCCTGGCCAGCCTCAGGTGTCCCCCGGGCACTGTCAGTCCCGCTCACCCACCTCTCACACTGAGTCTCTGCACAAGGCCACCCACCACGGGACCGCCCAGCCTCGTCCTCGCCAGCCTCACGGCCATGCCTTGAACCACACCAGCCCCATCAGTTGCCAGAGGGGCTCCACATGTACCTGGGTCAGGACCCCCAGAACCCTCACCCCCAAGTGCAAAGCCCTGCTCAACCAGGCGCTGGCCTCCAGCTCCATGTGCACCCTTTAAAGACAAGCACCCCCTTGAGAGACAGGGAACTGTGATAAGCTGCCCGCCCCAAAGGCCCACGGTGTGCTAAAAGGCACCACGAGGCCCTGAACCCGGGCCTCGGACTCTGAAGCCCCCTCCCCCTCCTGCCCAAGTGCCTCGCTGAGAATGCAGCTGGGCTGCCCGCAGGTTTCGGGGGCAGGGACCACCCGCTTCATGTCCCCGGAGGCCTGGCCTCTGCAACCTGCCCAGTCAGCGCTGAGGGCACTGGTATGATGGCGAGAACACGGTCTGCCCTCCTCAGTCACCCCAGTTCCTGGCCCCTCCCCCTCCAGACAACTTGATCTCCCTTCCTGACTGCCTGGAGTGACTCGGACCCACTTCCGTTGACCCCAGGTGACATTTATCTTCCTAGTGATTTGTGAGGAGTTCCCAGAATTTATTAGGGGACTTGCCATGGGCCTGAGCGTTTCCGCAGGCACCTGCTTCCCGAGGAGATGGTCATGTGAGCCGCCCTGGCCAGATACAATTTCAGAGTCCTTCCCAGAAATCCGGTCTTCAGGGCCCAGTGCCAGCCTGGCGGGCTGCCTGCCAGGTCAAATCTAATTTGATCCAACCCATCCAAATCCAATTATGTCCTGCAAACTTGGACCGAGTGTCTCGCTGGTGCCCAGGATGGGGCGGGGAGCCAGGAGACAGACGCTCTGCCGCGACATGGCCAGGCCCCAATTCAGACTCCGCCAGCTGCTGCAGGGCCCGGGCAGTCAGTCACCGCTGAGGTTTAACTTCCACCTGTGAACGTGGAGTCACAGGACCTGCCTCCAGGCGCTCACGCACGTGCACTCCTCCCTCTGGCCGGGGAGGCTGCTCAGGGTGCAGGTAGGGACTGGAGGGCCTCCTTGGCAGGGGGAGCGGGAGGAATTGTAAATTGGGCCAGATCTCTGGACGCCATGGGGAAGCAGGGCACGACTGCAGGCCAGCAGCAGGTGGAGGCTGTGGGTATCACCTTGAGAGAGATGGAGGAGCCTGGAGGGGCTGGGGACCAGAGGAGGCTAGATTTAGGACACATTCCAGAGCCCCTTTCTGTGAGGTTTTCAGATGTGATACGGGGACTTGGGCTCTGACTATACCAGCCGTGGGCAAACTACGGCCCGCGGGCTGGATCCGGCCCGTTTGAAATGAATAAAACTAAAAAAAAAAAAAAGACCGTACCCTTTTATGTAATGATGTTTACTTTGAATTTATATTAGTTCACACAAACACTGCATCCATGCTTTTGTTCCGGCCCTCCGGTCCAGTTTAAGAACCCATTGTGGCCCTCGAGTCAAAAAGTTTGCCCACCCCTGGACTATACTCAGGTTAACCTAACCCTCGGCATAAGCTGTGAGAGGCTACCGCCATGCCCCTTTCACAAGCAAGCACATGGAGGTTGGATGAGGCTGGGAGAGAGATGTGCCAGGGCCACACGTGTGAGAGGCAGAGCCATGGCCCGGGCAGCGCCGTCCTCTCCGAGTGCCCAGTGCTTCCTCCTGTGGCCGTGACAGGCCTCGCTGCCTTCCCCATCAGGGCCGATTTGTCCCCAAGCCTTGCATCATTTCGGATACTCCACCAGAATGTGCACAGAGTTCAATGGCGGCAGGATCTGCCTGCCCCTAACCAGTGTGTACGTGGCCTTCTGCAAAGCGAAGTTCACAGGGCGGGGGCGCGCCCAGTCTGCATGAGGAGCAGTCTCTCCCACTGCCCCCAGGATAACAAAGCTGGAATGTGTGCCTCCCAAGGGTCGTTGCTATGGCGACTTCATCAATAACATCACTTTCTGGATCCATGTCCTTTACACATCCGGGAAGGGAAGGCAAGTGGGAACAGCAGAGCAGGGCGGGAAGAACAATCACCTTGCTCTGCCCCCGCCTCCCAGCTCCCACCTCATCAATAGAAAACGAGGCAGCCCAGAAAGAGGCTGCGGCCGTGGGGTGGCAGGAATGGCCCGTCAGCAAGCTGCCCAGCCACGCAGGGAAAACAAACACCCGCGTGCTGTGGGGGGAGCGGAGAGCGCCGGAAAGGTCCTGCCTCGGGAAAGGCGCAGGAACAGCACAGGGACCGGGGACAGGCCTGGTGGGAGATGACGATGACACCACCTTCTCCCAGAGCCGCCAGAGAGAGGTCAAAACGGAGGCGAGGTGAGGTGAGGGGCGGATCTGGGGGACCTGCAGGAAGGCAGATGGGGCGGCTCTGGGCTGCAGGCTGAGCACAGTGATCTCCTTTAAGCCCCAGGAGCACTCTGCACAGGAGGTGCTGATACCCCCACTCTGCAGGTGAGGAGAGAGGAGAGTAGGTGAGGAAAGGCTTGGCAACTTCCCCAGGGACACGGAGTAGGACTGCGGGTGGGGCCTGTGCTCCCAAGGAGGTGATGGGCCATTTGTGCGGGGGAGGGGCAGGGAAGCCCTGCTACCCCATCTCTGCGTGGACTTGCCGCGGTGACGGGAGCCCTGGGATGACCCAGCCTCTGACCTGCCTGGCTCCGTCCACACGTCCACATTCAGCCTCCCCAAGCCCATCTTCAACGCCTGCTTCTCTGAAGTACCTAGTTCCTCGCCCAGCCCTCCCTGAGTCAGAGGGTGACCTGTCGGTGCCCCCGGAACCCCCCCACAAGCTTGCTGAGGGCTGGAGCATGCCTGTACATTCCTGAGCACCCAGCCCAGCCCAGGCCTGGCACAGAGAACACCGACCTCGCAGACCACCCTGCCAGCGAGGCAGCTTCATCCTCGCTGTACAGAGCAGTGGAGAGCGCCTCAGCGATGTGCCCCTGGTCCCCTGAGCAGGACGGGGTAGAACCAAACCAGACCCCTGCTCCTCTGACTTGAAGGCCTGCCCTTCTCCAGCTGCAGGGGGAACTTTCTAGAATATAAACAGACTGTCTTTCCACTGCTAAGAAGCTTTCTGTGTGCCCTGCCCCACCCAGGGCGCACCGCGTTGGGTTAAAGTTCTCAGTGTGGCATTCGAAGTCCTCTTGTCCCCACGCCTGCTGTGGCCCTGACAACAGGGATGCGCTCCTGCGGCCTGCTCAGCCTGCCCTCCTCCTCCCCTGGTGCCTTTGGAAATCTATTTCCTTTTGCCTGGGACACTCTCCCCTCCTTCGAATGGCAGCTTCCTACTGCCATTGATATTCTGCTTGGTGTCACCTCTTCTAGGAGGCCCTCCTTGTTTCCATCCTTCCTGCAAGTCCCTAGGCCGGACAGGAGCCCAGCCTGGGCTTCCAGGCAATCAGGCTGCAGGGAGCGTCTGTCTGCGCTCAGGCCCAGGCCTGGCTGCCCGGCGCGGATCTGCCTCCGTCCCTCCTGCACTCCAGCAGCACCTGCACCTGGACGGTGCTCCGACGGCCTCGCATTAGGATGCCTGGGCTTTCGCAGAAACAGGTCTCTGTTCCCACCCTGCGCTCCACAGGACATCCTCCGGGAAATTCCAGGCCTGGCTGGGGTGCCAGCAGCTGACTGCCCCAGATGACACCCCCCGCTGACCACGAGCCCCGCCCACCCCAGCTGCATCCCTAGGGGCAGCCCCACCGGGGAAATGGGAGCGACTGGGACTGTGGGCTTCCTCTCACCCAGAGCTCTTCCGTGCCAGGACCTGCGCCAGGCTCTCTGCAAACATCCCGAACTGACCATCTTCATGACTGAGTGCCAGGTGGCATCAGCAGGTCCCTGACAGGTGATGCTGCTGAGGCTCAGAGAGGCCTCCCCCCCCCCCCCCCACCAGCCACTCCAACAGCAGGCCCAAAGGGGTCCCAGCCCCCTGGCCAAATGCGCACTCGGCTGCCTCAGCGGCTCTCAAGGGGCCTCTGTTCCTCCTCCTCGCCAGGGGTGCATTCCAGATGCGACCACGCCCACCACCACGGCCGCTCCCGTGGACAGGCGCGGTGTATGACAGACGGAGGTGGGGAGAGCTGAGACCTGGCTGGCTGCTGACGTTCCAGATGACAGCAGAGGGGGTGGGCTGGCCTGCCTTCTTGGAAAACAGGGATGGACACGTGGCTCCCATCCTGGTGCCTTCCTAGTCCTGGCCCCGGGAGCCCCGGAAAGCGGCCTCCATGAGCAGGGAGGAGCCTGTCCGACAGCTGAGGACCACACGCAGTCTGGGCAGGCGAGCGTGGAGATGCCATGGGAGGTGCCACCGGCGCTGCCTCACATCCCCATCCGGCCGTGTAACGTGTGTGGCCTTGGAACCTGCTCAGTTTCCTCCCCGGAAAAGGAGGAAGATCATTAAAGGGTGTAAAGAGGCGATGGCTCCAGCGCAGGGCCCTCCGACAGCCACCTCGTGACACAGCGGGTGCCCAGTCCCCTTGCGCTGCACTGGCCTCCTCTGTGCTGGTCCCAACAGAGCCTCACCTCACCCTGGACCCACGCCCTCGGACTCCTC